ATCATGTTCTTATTGTTGTTGCTGCTGCCGTCGCCCGGTTGTGATTTTCCTGAGGAGCAAGAAACTTACTCTCACCTCACCGCGCTCCCATATGCTAGCTTCGCATTCCTAAGCACATGTTTTTTTCTCACATTTGGTCCTATAAAATTGCTGTAGCGACAACAATTTCCATGCATGTCCTTCTCATCCACTTTACTCACCACCTATAAGTTCTTCCGGCGTTCTGGACTATGACACTCTCTCGAAATCTCTAGAGATCTCCAATGAGATTCGCCCACACATGGAAATGCCTTCCATCAGCAAGTCAACTCACGAATCTCAGTCTCAATTTCTTGCCACAAGTGCTATCGTTCATGCTAGCAGGTACCACTTTCTCGAGAGAAAAAAGAACACAAACAATCACCACAAATTGTCACTGAACTTGTCACCTCGTGACAAATTCTCTCTACAAACAAAATCACATTGTCTTCGAACCGAAGTTAGATGTTCACAAAGTTCTCAGTACACAAACTGAAGACACGATTAGTGTAGCAATCTCCTGAAAGAAAAAACAGCGTCACAAAAAACTACAACCTCCTAAACACTGTCACTAAAAACTGCAATCTAAACTTAGACTTGTGTGTGAAACTCAGAAACGGAAAATCTTTGAGAATGAATAAACGTCACAATCAGAAACTTCAAACCAAAGTTTCTGGTGACTGTTTTAAAAAAAACCGTCAAGAAATTTTTGACTGTAGATCCGAATTGTACATCAGCTTTGATACCAATTATAAGCGTAAAACCTGAGAATCATCAGTGACAAACTCAAACAACGGTAAAACTTGAGATCACTTTGAGCAAACCAACAACATGAGAGACACATAAGACACACATATAACGTGGTTCACTCTGGGGGCTGCGTCCACTGAGGTTTACACTTGAGAGAATTTACTACTTGAAGTGAAAACATAACCTTATCCGTAGAAACATCAGGGTATACATATTCAAGGTAGCCGACTAATCTCAGTTGTAAATAGCTACACATGAGGTTATTACTTAACCGGAGTTAACCTCAACACAAAAATAGGACGATGAATGACATATAGTTGATTATAACTCAAAAGTTGATGGCGGTGGAACAAAATTACCACCCGACAGAGGAAGATGAATTAGCCATTGTGTTGGCAATAAAACACTGGAAGCAATATTTGAATAATACGGAGTTTGTGGTGGAGATTGATCATAAATCTTTGATTTATTTGAAAACTAAGAATAATCTGTTTAAACCACAAATTCGATGGATAGAGTGGAGAATGTATGAAATCTATTTGCTTTCCATTCTCAAAAGTTGATGGCGGTGGAATAAAATTATCACACGATAGATTTGGAGAGATTAATCATTGTGTTAGCAACAAAACACTTGAAATATTACTTGGATGATACGGAGTTTGTGATGGAGATCTATCATAAATTCTTGATTTATTTGAAAACTCAGAAGTAGTTTTTTAAACAAAAAATTTGATGGGCATAGTTGTGTTAACGCTTTAACATGAAGATTGTGTATGTGAAGGAAAAGAAACAACTTGTAGAGTCTTTCACACATATACATTGTCTAGAGCATGTTGCAAAAGTAAAAATTCAAGTTGATTGGTGGATCAAGATGACTCAAGCCACAAAGTATGATGAAGAGATCATTCGAACACTACAAACTAGGAAGAAGTAGAAGTTTAAAGTTGTGATTTTTTACAAACAATGCATATGATTTTCACATGATTGAGAATTGCGCACAATGATTTTGGTCAAAAATCATGACACAACCATTGGAATTCATGTGGGAGAGCGAAGAACACTGTGGAGAACATACAATGAACGTATTAGTGGTTCAAAAGACAAGAACATGTGGAGACTTACCTTCTAAAATGTATTGCTTGTCAACAAAACAAGACAACTAATTAAACACCAGCTGGTTTATTACAAACTCTCCCTAATTCTCCAACAACGATGAAAACATGTCATCATGTATCTTTAATGTGAATTAGCAAAAAACTTAGTTAGGAAATGATTCAATGATGATTTTGTCATCAAATTAAGCAAGATGATTCACATTAAGCCAATCGCAAAAATAGCAATAAATTCACAAGTAGCTCAATTATGTCTAGATGCAATTTTTGTGAATCATGTCTAAAGCAAAGTTAATAACGGATAGAGAAACTCACTTCACTAGTTTATTTTGGATAACTTTAATAATTTTTTTCAAATCAAAACTAGCGATTTCAACAGCTTATCATAATCAAACTAGTGGACAAACTTAGAGATCAAATAGAATTGTAGAGAATGTGTTACAATCATTCACATGAAAAGAGCAAGAACAGTCGTATATTTTTTTGATTTTTGTGAAATTTGCATATAATAATTTTTTTTAATGCATCCACAAAAGTGTGTACGTTGTATTTCATGTATAATGCTCATAGTATAACTACTTCAAGTTTAATGTGACTTTGAAAAAGATAAGAGTTTTTGATCAAAGTTGCAACAGTCAACAAGTTTGTGGAGTATATTCACACAGTATTACATCAGACCAAAAAGAAGTTACTGATAGTTCAAAACCGGCAAAAACAACATGCAAATGCTCATCATAGATAGTTGGTTTTTGAGGTAGGAGATCTTGTTCGATTAATACAATAAATTGGTCTCTTATAGAATACCAAGTTTTAACCTTAGATTCATTGGTATATTTTTAATTATGAAATGTGTTGGTGAAATGTCATACAAGTTAGAACTTTCATCATGAGTCAAGATTGCAAAAATGTGTATCACGATCAATACAATTCATCAATGAATCAACACCACCTCCTATTCTAATCTTGATAGTTGATCATAAAGAGTTTGAGATATAATACATAGAGAAGATACATAAATATCCTGAAATATAATATTTGATTGAATGAAAATGTTATACATCATAAAAATCAACTTGAAAACCAACTAAAATTTTAGCAAATGCATTTTTGATAGATCAAGAGTTTAAATGAATGTGAGACGATTATATTGCATGTTGAGAGCATAGAGATTTTTAACATTTTTAGTTAGTTAGAAGTAAATTTAAAGTTATTCAAAATTGAATATAGTGTATCATAGTAGAATATTTATTAATGCCATATTAGCAATTCACGTACTCAGAACTTATATCCGGCATGTCATCAATCCGTTTGGAGAGTGTTGGATGGTGAAAAGATCTTATTTTTGTGGAGATATTTGCTTGATGGGACCCATCAAGTTTTGTTTTACCCAATTGGACTCCACGGACGGTGTGCCGTCCATGAGCTCTAGTAAATGTTCTTATATGAATAATATAGGTCTGGTGATGATGGTTCGTCTCCCCCCTGATGTGAAGTCGTTTGAGATGCACCACGAGACTTTTGACGATGCTCTTCCCGGAGACGATGTCGGTTTCGATGTGAGGATGGTGTAGTGACGGACGCGAACAGAGGATTCGTCATCTCTGACTCGAAGTATGAGCCGGCGAAGGAGGTTTCATTGTGTACCAATTCCTCAATTGGTACGCATCAGGGTAATTGTGGTCTGGTAAGGAGCTCCGGAAGGAGTGATTGCTTGCGATCAATGGAGATGCTACATTGTGAAGACGATTGCAATCAAGCTTTGAAATTTGCTCTGAAAGTTGAGAATTTCCCCGAGTATTCACCTCTTGGTCGATTTGCTGGCGACATGAGGTACCAGGTCGCTGTCGGGGTCATCAAACCGGTAGAGAAGAAGTATCCAATCGAAGCCAAGATCGCCAAGGTCTCCGCGAAGACGTCAACAATATATACAGGATCTAGTAGTGTAGGCAACTCACGAACTCACCATCTGTTCATACTAGAACATTCTGACGTATGCCGTCGTTGGGGTACCATCGGGTAAATATGTTCTTGATGGTATCCCATCAAGCAAATATGTCTATTTTTGTGGATATGTTTGAAGTAACTATGTAAGAAATAATAGAACTTTTTAGGTTATCTTTATGTTTCATATTAGAATGAATTTAATTTAAATTCTAATTTAGATTGATATATTTCAATACTCTTATGAAAGAAACAATCTTTTCTTGATAAAATTGGGAGCGGCTAGTTATTCTTCGCTTCGGGCTAATTAGCACTCACTCTACTATAGGCAGTTCTTTTATTGGTAGATGTAGGGTAGTAGAGATGCAATAGCCCCTGTAGGATGTTCGACCAATCAGATAAGAACGTATAGTTGGGTGAAGGCTACATAGCGATACCTGAGGTTTAACTAGCCCCCCTTCCTAAAAACTCTGAACATACTTTCTACACATAATCAAGTTTGCAACTGGTTTCGAACTGAAAATTTCTGTCTAATAGTGTTTTGAATCCTCTAGACTCCTGTTTGATAGTTAGACAATACATTTAATAACGTGTTTTTGTTTAAGTGCCAAGAATGCAGTCTGTTCTTATAGAATTCACATGTGTGAATAAATGACCCCATTTTAAGAATAATTTGCACTGAACTTGGGATACAACGTATACTTACTTGACACATCATCCAACACTTTGACTGGTGAATGTATGTTGAGGGTTTCAAAAAATTTAAACTACATTATAAATCATTACTTTCACAAAATCATCAAAGTACCTATCAGTCTTGTCATGAAACATGTAAAGCGTACTACATCACGATCATGCTTTCTATTCTAATAGTATTTGGATGCTTCAATGTTGACAAAACCACAATTTCGTCTATTACACCAACTTGGGAGAACGAAGACATTTTTTCCATCTTCGGTACATCTTCAAAGACCAAACGGGAATTCGTGAATTGATTGTTCAAAGTTCTTCAGAATCGAGACGGTAACCATCGAATAATATTCTAGAACCATCTGGACATACAGGAAGAGAAAAACCAAACCTCTTGAAAACACAAAGTAATTTAATTATGGTGAGTGCTATCTGTTTAAGATGACAGCTACTAGAACTGCCATAAATTGAAATAATCAGTCGAGGATGTAAACGCAAAGAGTGCAATGATAACACATTGATCAGAAAAAAACTACAGAATTAAGGCGACCTCCGTGAAAAGAATCGATTATATTTACTTCAAATTCAGAAGAACCTACAAACGTCAATGTTGTAAAAAGGGATGCCAACCTCTAGAAATTAGGAACATTCGGTCGAGATTTGACTTCCTTGGGAGACATAATCGGTGAGAAGTCCGTGTCAAAACCAATATTTGCCCTGGAGACTTGGACTAGACCTCTTGCTTCTACGACACAATTTACTTATCCTCCTTGATCTGCTTTCCTTTTCTCAACTGAGCTCTCTGTCTCCAAGTCATCTTACTCAAAGAAGGGTTCTGGGCAATGGCACCGTTCGATGGAAGTTCTGCTGGAAGAGCAGCGGCTGTGTTAGTGAACACATTCAGCGCCAAGAACGCCAAAATTGGAGACAAGTCGATCGAGCCTCCAAGAGGTGGGATGATACCCCTGAAGATGTTCAAATACGGGTCGCAGATAGTGCTGCAAAATCGAATTCGATAAATTAGAAGAAGTAGCCAACTTCACGATCTCATTCTACTGCTACACTACTGTGATAATAAACCAAGAACCAACTTTTGCACATGTGAGCCAAATCTTTGTCCTAGCATATGGTTGGTCTTCATTTTCAACAAAAAATGAAATATAACCTATTTGACTGCATATAAATCCCAAACAGAAAATATCAGAACGTCTAATATTCAGAACTCGTGGTCCAGTCTTGCAGCCTTGCTTTTACACAAGTAGCTGCATACACTGAGCTACAAATTTTCTGATTGAAAAGCAGATTTAACTTGAGCACATTGGGAGAAAATGGACGAGACAAGCACAGGGGACAAACCTGAGGGGATTTGCGATGATGGCAGGTGGATTGGGAAACCAAGTCAACACAAGGCGTGTGATGAGTAATGTGTTGTAAATATTCAGAAAGCTAAATATCCCACTAGTTATCACGACCTCCGCCACGGAATCACCCGGAATGATGGCTGCAAACTTCCCACCCCTCAGGGCGATCCTGCCACTCTGTAATCTCTCCCTTCTACGCCATCCACCGACTTGCCAGTCGACATTCGTCCTCTGCAACGAATGTAGGGAAATCACTACTTAGCTCAACCTGTAAATTCTCGGATTGTGCAGTGTCAAAATCTCCTTGATACACATCATACCCAGTTACTATCGTCCAAAAGTTGACCATGTAGCATCTGCATGTTATTGAAAACAATTCTCTACCTCCTCTCCTCAGACGAAGTTCATTGGCAACATCATCCACATAACCAGCCAGAACACAATACGTCCAACTCCGACTCGGACCTTCTTAAAAAATTAAAGCTTGCACTTCAATATGCCTTGAGGACTTCCCGTAATTTGCATAGTGTTCAGATTAATCACGATATAGAAGTATTAGCTCCGTGACAAGTTCTGGTTTCTTCACTGGCATGCCAGCGTACCAGATGTCCTAAAAGTAGAAACAATGTACTACACTTTGAGTGCTCTGCCGAAATATATAACCAAGAATGTGACGACCCAAGGCAATTACGCATGATTTCTACAAAGAATATCCAATCTGTACCTCACCTCAGCTATGTAACGAACATAGCCATGACCTCGTTGGGTAGAAGACTCATACACTAGAGCCCTGTGGAACTTGTACCGCCATGTATAATCGAGAATGTACATTGAGAAGAACATTCAATCCAGCGAGCGGGCACGGACAAGGCAAGAGTTGCGCGCCCATTCGCACGACATTTGGGATAAACTCAGCTGCTGTCAGAAATTTGCAAAGGCCGCAGACAGCATCCTCGTACATCTATCAATGGACAACGAGACCGCAGCATCGAAAAGACTTACCAGAAACCGAGCTTGGACGTGGTCACGCAATTGGTTGAGTGCAATTTGCAACGGATTCTCAATGTGTAGTAGATTCCCATGCACGGTTATTTCCCTACCACTGCTCTCTGCAGGCCCAGCCATGGCTTCCAATTCAATTCAATCCTCCGCTGGCCTTTCTTCTCTTCAACCCGAACTCTTCTAAACCCCTTTGCGTTCTCGTTCTCGTTCTCGACAGGTGCCGCAGCTGGGCTCACGGGGACGCGACAGCTCTCGTCCTCAATCGAGATCCTACGGAGCTTTCATTGGCTCACATTGGCCATCTATCCGTTCTGCCTTTCCTCCTCCGTCGAGAATCGGGGCCCCTTTTGTTTGTAACTCTGCCTCCTGTGAGAGCATGAGCGCGATATACTTACACGGAGACAGACTGAGCTCTTCACCAGCTTCGGGTTTACTCAGTTCGAATGCCGACCACTCACCTTTGGATCCAACACATGCTTTGACTCGAGGGACTATGACCACGTAGATGCCAGATCCTGACCACGTAGATGAACGACAGCGTGAGCTAGGATGTTGTGATAGCGCCTCTCCGACCATAAAGCTTCGTTCATTGAGATCTTGATCTGACGGACCGTAAATTACCAAGTTATCTTCCAGCACAGAGGAACATGTATCCAACACGTGTCCTTCATACAGTAGATAGCAAATGGACGGTGACTCTCATGGATATATATCTTTCATGCACCAATTTTCATTTGCTACTACAGTATTGTTTCATCGCGGCTGCATGCCCCTGACGAAACTTTGATAGCAAGTGCGTGTTTTTTTTTAAATATCCTTTTTCTTGGAGATTTTATGTTTTAATGTGGAATCAAATTTTCATTCCACGAATAAATATTTCGAAACATAGGAATTTCTGAATTTATCCTATTGAAATTTTTTACTTAGATTTTTTGGGACAGCTTCCGGGGAATTTCATAATTTTAGCTTAATTTTTTTTTTGGATGTTCCCAAAGAATTTCATTATCTTATGAAATAAAAATATATATTTCGTTTAAAAAAGATATATTTTAAATATAATTTCATTTTTATTTTAACATCTCATTCTATGTTTATCTCTTCCATAGGTCTTAAACCACTCGAACTCATGTACCAGTGGAAAAACCTGGGATCCCTTTTCAATGTAGAGTTGAAATCCAGATAACAACACTCGGAACTCTGAAAGTAAGTGAGAGTCTTTCCATGGCGATAAGAATTTAGCATTTCAGAAAATCGGGTTGAAGTCTAGCATGAAACTGGATACATAGAGCACTAACAACTTTCTTCACAACGTAGATATCAGCTCATTTCACTGTAAGCGTCACCCAAATAACATGCATGCAAGTTTGTCAGAAGCTTCAGTGAATCTTCGATGAAAGATCGCCCTTACAATCTTTTCTCAAGTTTCTGCTTAGAGACCGTCGCAAGATCAAGACTTGTCTTGAGAACGGGTGAGCGTGAAATGATCTCCAGTTCCGCTACCTGTAGAGACAAGATGCAAGTTTAGCTCAAATCTCTGATATGCGTTCTGTCTCTTCTGTCAATGATTTGCAAGTACTACTGTGTACACAGTAATGACGCACGAGAGGATATCTCATGAATCCATTTGTTACCTCTCCAGTCGATGTGATTATTGTCACATACTTGTCACCGAAAGGGTCACTTGTACATTCTGCTGTATCTTCCGAGATAGGCGTAGTTCTTATTCCAAGCCTTCCGACCTGCATTTGTATCACTGTTTTTGCAAGGAAAGAACGTTTAAGGTCGAAGAATCAGTTCTCACACATTCAGCATGATGATCACATCGATGCATATTTCAAAACTGTGTTAGCAAGAGACTGCTTTGACGTGGGGCGTCTTTATTTACCTGCAATAGGTTGGGAACATCTTTCCATCGGATTCAAACTCGGCATTTCGCTTCTTCTAACCTCTCCATCCGCCGGATTTAAAGACTCTCCACTTCTCCTCAACTCTGATCTCCGGGAATATGCTCCATGGACAGTATCGCCGTCCTCTTCCCACAGCCTTTTCTCTTCCTGAAGAAAGGAAGTTTCGAAATATTATGCTGTAAGGGCCTTTGGGTTCAGAGACCCGATTGCTGATGCTTAAAATTATCATAGATGTACACCAGTATGTATTTGATACTGATACTGAGCCAAGCGTATATATTGTTTAACATCATCTGCTTGTTCTTACAAGTAGACGCAAATTAGTGGCAAATTTGCTAGTCTGCATAACCTTCGAAAGAATACATGATTATTACAATATCATATGGAGGGATAGAATGTGCTCAATGAACCTGGAAACTCTGCTCGGCACACAAGTCGCGCTCCATTAGCTGCAACCCATGTTCATACAGTGCCACTAGTAGTAAATTGGCCTCCCTGAAGAAACACAGAATTATAATATGTTTACTCTTATGGAATATCCTCCAGGTTTTTGTAAAATTATAATCAAATGCTTATTTCTCAAAAGGCTTAAAATTACCGACTCTTGAGTAGATGACATGTATCAATTGATTCTGTTGTGAATTAAACTTTGAGTCAAGACCAAATTAGTAACAGTAGAATGTAAATTGGATTCCTGATGAGTTGAAGCAAATACATTTCAGTTCACTTCAGGGTTATATTTTTAGATATGTCTCTGTGGTCAACAAATTACGGCCACTACTATTTAGGATTTGACAATTGTGTCTACATCTCATCTCTTAGAGTTGTGCCATACTTACAGCTGAAGGACTGTCGTGAGAGGCTGCGAGCAAGGATGCCATGCAAGATGAACTACATCTCCATTCTCTTGGATAGAGAATATCCCTATCCCTTGAAACATTTCTCCTACCTGCAAATACAATGGTGTAGCGATGTTTGCTATGGTTTGTAAGAAATCAGACGACAAAGGTCTCTTCGTGACCACAAAGTCGAAGGTTACCAAGTTGGGGGGCTTTGGCTAGATACTTGAAGAATCTAACTCTAGCTCTCTGCGGATATAATGAGAAAGGTGCTCATGTATCTGAAGTTCACTCCAGCAATCCCTGTGGATAGAACATGACCGAAGGCAAGGACCAGACCCTCATATAATTATGTTGAGAAGTGGTTCCTTCAACACCTAAAATATGCTAGCTAATTTGAGTTGGTAACTCATGTTCATGTGTCAACCATGATATTTGTATGTATTGGTACGATACATATCAATCAATTCTAATCAATTTGTAGATTAGAATTTGTAGGAGGAAATTTTATTTATATTTTCATTTATTGATCATTCCCTTTGAGTAGTAGATTGTCGAGAAGTGTAATGAATAACTCAAATCATGAGCGGAGAGTCTAAATTTAGCATTTTTTCATTGCCCATATGATTCTAAAGTGAGTTGTAACAAGCTACGGCTTTTCTTCAATATCAATGTAAAGATCAAGCACTGCTTGTGATATGTCTAGAAGACGTGCTAATCAACCCGTAATAGAGTTCGGAATATCAAAACCTAATCCATCAATCCGTGTTAGAAGAATCTTAAAACATAAACTCTCATGTGAACAAAGACTCGGAAGTGGCACATTTAGAAGCATTAAGAACTTTCAGAACCAAAAAGACTTTGGGTAAACTAAGTGGAGAGAACTCACCAGAATTACATCCGAAGAGAGAGCCAAGAGAGCAGTTACACAACCTCGCCCAGGACTATCAAAGGTGGTCAACCTCGTCAAACAAACTAGAGAATTTTTCGAAGTCATGGGCTTCGGATCAACCCGCGATGCTGGGCAGCCCTTGCTTCCTTCTAAAGTTTGTTCATTCATTCCGTCTGTATCTACAGTTGCTGCAGAGCTGGACTTGTAACCTGAGCTCCTAACTGAATCTGCAGATCGATATAAATAAGGTTTGTCCAAATCTCCTTATAATTTGAGATTATTCGAGCTCTTTCAGGCAAGACAGCAAAATTCTCTCTGCTCGACTACAATTAATGGCAATGTACAGAACGCATAGATCAAATCAGTCCAGGAAATACAACAATTTTTTTCAATCTAGAAGTGACATGTCTAACCAGGAAAGTACGGAAGAGCTGATTTGATAATCTGGGCCAGAGGAGGAACCAGAAGAATCGACGCTATGCTACTTCCGATCAAAACAGCAAAGATCTCCACCCTTCCCGAAAAACCGAGCGCCAACAGTGGCCCCCCCTGGCGATGAAGACCTCTTTTGCCTTCCTGGTCTCTGTGTCATCGGGTAAAGTTTTTGAAGAATAACGGACGGTAAGTCCACTTCGTCTCATATATATTTAACTCGAAGTTCAGAGTCGTGATTGTTTCATATAATCACATTGATTTAGTTTCATTACATCAAATTACAAGATATAGAACTTCAAATCTGGGAAAAGTTGATTATAGAGGAAATACGTGGGGCAATCTTCTATACTGAAAAACATTGTCAGTGCAACAGACAATAGATCTATTTGCTTCCCAATCGTAAAATTGTATACAGGAGGCTGGTGAATGACCATACCTACAGTAGTCATTCCAGTGGCCACCGCCACAGGTCAAATGCTTCAAGGCTGTGCTTAGAGGTTCGAAACCATCTATGCAAGAATCTACATTGCATATGTCACAGCAAAAGGTCGGCAGGGATTCTTCTTGCTTCCTCAGAAGACAAAGAGCCTGGCATGGAAGCTCTGTATGATGTTTTCCCAACATCCGCAACTCATACTGCAACTCCTCATCACCTGTCAAGGAACTACCTCACTGTATTTAATTGATCCGATCCCATACATATTCTTCGCACGGACCAGGAACTGGTCATTTCCATGATGAAGATATGTGTTTGAATCTCAGAGTCAAGCAGTATCATACATGATATATCTAACTTGAGACAAATAAAGAAGGAATTAACTTAAGATTTTGTTTTAATATGCTTAAAATTTTAGTAGTTTTGGTTGAAGACTCTCATTAGGGACATTGATTCGCTAGCGGCGAAGGAGGTGCTTTCTTACAAATTAGAGACTGGCAGAAAAGGGCTAAGTAGGAATATCAGTTTTTGAGCTCCTTTATATGTTCATCTTCCTCGTCATCCATCAACACTATAAAACCGCAAGAAGGACATTCGGAGGAACATAGACCTTGGGTACACAGTACTTGTGTTGCTAACATTCTTGAAAGTATCGTGAACGACGCTATAATGAGACTTACAAGTATATGCGTGGGTGAAGTCAAAAAACTGAAGGGTTCCTCGGGCCTGTTCCTTGATACCCTTTTGGCAGGCGACGACTATACATTCTCTGCTTTTCTGCCCATCAAGTTTGTCATAATTTGTGAGATAGTGGGTTGCACCTTTCGGCCTCTATCTTAAAACCAAAAATTGAAGGTCACTTGGTGTAAAATATGTTTACACCAAGTTCGTCTGCACAATATGAATGATCTAACAGGGCACAGAAGACTATACTTCGGACTACTACATCCCGGCTAATGGCCTGTGTTCGCCTTTATTTAGTCAGAAAAAATAACACAGACCAGCACAAACCTTCATTTCAACACAGGGCAATTCCAAAACTTCCAAGGCTGTAGGATGCTGGTCTGTCTCCAGCTCCAGCGTCAGGACCTACAAATCCTAACATAAATAATAGTTCACTTTGATGTAATCAAATCACATCAACATATCTGCATTGTTCACAGTTCTCAAATTCCACAAATGATCTGATAAATTCAAACTCAAGCTTTGAAACACCCTCCTGAGAAAATGATAGGCGCGCAAGGATGGGTTTGGGGGAGAAGGGGGGAGTTCCGGGCTTCTACCTGACACATCGATTGGACATGGATGAGGGAGAGCCTTACAGAACCACCATCCTGCAGCGAGAATTTTCAAAGGATTAGAAGCCCTGAGTGTTTTCAATTGTCCCTACAAAGCGCTCAAGTTCATGCTACTGCCTTGTCAAATATTTTTTTGGTGTTCTCTTTTATCTGCAAGAAAGACTGCTCACATTTGAGGTGATTACAGCACAACCAGTTCCCCTATGATAACCTAGTTGTTGGGGATTGCCAATAATTTCCATCTTCCGCCATCTGCGAGATTTCTTCCCATGAACCAAGGGTAGTTACTACAAGAGCAAACTATGCATAGACAATTCCAGTCAAATAACCTGTGCACATACTGGTCTGATCACTAAACCTTAATATAAAGTACGCACCAGTTCCTGTTAATGACCAACTTCTTACTCTCATATTCACAGAAGACTGACAAAATTTGCACGTTGTTTTGATTTCTTAACCTCAGCATTTTACGTACAAAGTATTAATAGTATTCTTAGATACTACTATGTATAATATATGGCTTAACAAAGGGCTTCTTACGTTAGTAAAATCTACAAGAAAAATGACCACTGATTCTCATGCGGAACTCGAAGAGATCAAGAGAATCACCCAACCGTAGTTTCACTGAGAGATCCACATGCCCGAAAAGAAGTTGACCTTCTCTAGAGAGTAAGCCCAATGAGTTGGGCACACTTTCAGTGTGTATCCTGCGACATTGGAGAATTTCAGCTTGGTTATACAACCAAGCTGAGTACAGGATAAGAAGCATTCTCTATTATCAGATAATTGACTCAATCTAGTGCAATTTCGAAGATGGATGAACCGCAATGACGTCAAAATTTTTCCACAGACAGCTTCAGTTGATCTAGAAAATCTTGAAAACCTTTGTGAAGATCATAGAACCTGAAAGACGTTCCCAAAGGCTGGGTAAATGAACCCGACATACACACCGCCTGTAAGTCGCCATCTTCTCCAGGAATCAAGACTATGCTGTCACGATCTGTTTGCACGAGCAGACAATCCTGCTTTTCCAGTATTCTACTTAGCTTCTTCGACGAGTCCATCTCAGGCCCGCAAAATGGACCATGTATAATGGATACGACGCTTCCTCCCAGCCTCAGAACTCTGCCATGCTTGAGCCTTAAATTGAACCTTTTGAGACTCTGTTCATTTGTATCACGTCTTCCGACTGGGGCTCGTAGTCCCTGCATGAATTTTAAGCAGCTGACATTCTCTCTCTCAAAAGCATCATCTCGGAATGAACTAGAATGGACAATTGACGGGTTTTCAGTGATCTCAGAGTCCACGTTCTCTCCCTCCTTGGGAGTATCATACTTGATTTGGAAGTATAATACATTTCCTTCACCTGTACCTACAAATAGATATTGCTCCTTCCCAATAGTAGTGACACAAACACAACGAACAGGAGAGGATCCAGTCTCCACATGATCAATTTCCTCCTGCGAAGAGACAGTGTCCGAACATCGGAAGCTGGTTAGGTCTTTGGACGGAACGCTCTCTATGGGTTTGGACTATTGTTCTAGATATCATTATCTATCATTCGGGTATCGCACTTAAGTCAATGGAGTTTTTGTGTCCGAATTGAACAAATTATCTATACTATTCAAATCAGCGAAATAGAGTGTTGGAATTTTGTCCGCAGAACCTTAGCATCAACTGAGCGTTTACTGACAACTGCAGACCAGGTGTGATTGTTTGAGTCATAGGACGCACCAAGTCTGGCCATGTGAGCAGATGAACTGTATTGGTGACCCATTGTGCTACAACAACAAGGAAGAAGAGATCCGCGTTGTCAAATGCAGGCCTAGGGCTTGTCAGATACTTGGCATAGAATTGCTTCCTTGGTTTGGAACTTTTATCTCCAACAATCCAAAACTCGAAGTTTCCAAGAGCTGAAACCTGTGAGACACAACAAGAGAGACAAGTGAAAAGAAACCAAGCCACGCTCCTTATCAAGCTGTTGTTTTCAAAAGTATGAAAACCATCAACCTTTCTCTGACTACAAATTGAAATAAGCCATAGGCAAATAGTACAGCTCAGAAAGCTTCGTTTTTCTTTCATAATCAGGATTAGAATGCACAAAATCCGATCAATGAACCAGCTTAAACCTTGTTAGTGCACCTCTTGAGGTCTTCTAATTTCGACTGGAGGACATAACCTTCCACTCTTGTTTAGCTTCACAGAGTACACTGTCTTGCCGGTGCTCAAAACAGCTCCATCTACGCTCACAGACGCATGCTTAATGTGATGATTTTTCTGAGCTCCAACATGAGACCTTGCAGAGCAGTCTTTTGCTGCTTGAGGTAGCCACTCCGCTACAAGAGCCCTTGGTGTAGTTGGGCTCAAAACCCTCAAAGACTTAGTTGTTACCTGGGTGCATACATTCAGACAAGACAAATTCTGATTAAACAACATATTATGTCTAGAATAGAAGTAAATAAAGTCATTGTAATCCTCTTTCCTCCTAATTTTACTCTGTTCGATACATTATGAAACATGAGATACGCTCTGAAGAAGAACAGCAGAAAATTTTTTGCAGCGACTTTCGTTTAATACCTGGAAAAGCCAGTCTCCTGAAACAGCGGATGCTGCTAAAGTACATTCACTTGTTTCTAGACCGTCCATTGACTCTGACTGATTTTCGCCATCCAGTGTCACGATCTCGGTCGTGCCCTATAAGGAGAAAATTTGAAGTTGGTAGTGGTATTGTGAGAGAATGAATGAACAGATGTACTGAAACTGACATAGTTCGAGGCACAAGAGATGTTCTCAGCAACTGAAGGTTGACATGAGAGCGAAGCCCTGGGGAGGCTGGATTTAATACTATTTTTGTCCGTCATTCGAACATTCGGTAGTGCGGTCTACTATGTTTCAACCTGTCTGTGCCTTCATGCCTAGAATTATGATAGGCTATAAACTTTGTTGGCCATGGGAACCTCGAACGGAAGATCGCCTAGGGTAAAGACGGTGGGAGAATCACCTCGGTTGGATAGCACAGAAGAAGATGTGTGTGATAATGAGATTGAAGTGCCCATTTCATTGGTAGCACTTCAGGTAAGCCACCTATCTGCATCCAAAATATCACTGATACTTGTGAATAGAACATGCTCATTCAGGTTGTAGCGTGAGGCATTCATGACCGAAACTGTCAAATTTTAACACGAATTCAACTGAGGAATTGCATTATTGTTCAGATCTTGACGTGGACCCAACAAACTTGCCCTGTAAAAGCATATCTCATACTGATACTCAATTTCTACGCGATTTCTACTACAGAATCGCTACTGAATGCTTCTGGAACTCATTCACATAAATTTTTGTCATGATGCAAGTTTTTGTTGCTATTATCGAAGCTCATTCAGGGTTAATGAAGGAAACAGTTTATTCAAACCTTGTCATCACAGATTTTATCACTGTTGAAAGCCACTCCCAAGCTACCCCTGCAGATTAATGGCATTCCTTCAGTATGTTGTAAAACAAAAACTTGCAGTCTTCTACGAGGATAGATTTACAAAACGAAAGAAACGCAAAAAATGGCATCAGAAGATATTACCTACCTGCGAAGTGTAGCAGTAGGAGAGCTGCCACATGCAGCGAGAATCTGTTTCTCTGATACTTTGCACGGGTCATCAACCAAAAGCATCGAGTGGACGGAGGTTGGATCGTCTAAGGAGGAATGTTCTATTGAAAATTCTTTTGTGTACCAGCTTAAGCCTTCTTCACTGAGAGATGGCAAATCTGAAAGCATACTCATACTTTCACAATCATGAGATGCTAATGATGGAGTCCTGATTTCTCTCCCAATCAGATCGGGAAGAAGTGCGAACAATCTGGAATTGCTACTACTGCCAGATAGGAAGAAAACAAAACCAGCAATATCTCCATTCTCCTCCTTCACGAACTGTACCTGTTTCAGAATCTGCTAACACCGATTGAACTTTTAGGCAAACATATGAGGTTTAAGTATGTCGTATGGTAAATCGAATGCATCAAGCACCTCGTACGTCGAGTCTAATTACGTTAAAGTTGAGGCTGCAGAAGAATCAGTCAACTCTTCGAAATACGTGTAGCGAGAATAGAAGAAAAGCTTTGCTCGCTGCAACTCAACTGCTGGATTACTCAAGTAGAAGAAGTACCTGTGCAGGAGGAAAAGGACTAAAAGGTTTGACCGGCTGCAGTTCGTGTCTCCCCCAATGCTTCAGATCCAAAACACACAATGCTCCATTACTGTCACCTACTACCTGACAGATTGAGTTCAAAGAGCGCTATAATTCATGAATGATTCCTACTGCTCATAATAATTAAAACAAGTATGCACCACATTTTAAAACATTCACACTGTACTGAGTTGTACTTGCCTATTACAGCCTATAGCCTGAAGACCTTAGATCCTGAGCCTGAAGTATAAAGATTCTTACCAAGCAAGAATCTCTGAGGACCTCAGAACAAGTGGGTAGCCCATCCAAAGAGATCGGTAGTGAAGAGCGGTATCCGCTTGATTCAATGAACAAAAGACTTTTGCTAGATATGACGAGTATACCAACTCCTTGCTTGATCCCGGTCTGCACATGATCTCGCTCGCAGCTCCAACTAGCTGGCCTCGTGATACCATCTCCAACCCATGGCAATAGGAGCCTTGTGGTCGGATGGAGATTGCTGTACTGAGAAATGGAGTTTAATTCTAGCAGGATATAAATAAAATATGAGACTGAACTTCGCCAGTTAGTTAACAGCTTCTACTGAATAGACGTCTGTTGGAGTGAGATGTTCGTCTGTACCTTATTTTCCAAGGTCCCGGTTGCATCTGTCTGTTTGCCAAGTCAAGCGTATATGATTGAATATTCACCAAGCTGTACACTAGCCCTGTTAAAATGAAGTTTCAAATTTAAACACTCGCAGGAAGTGCTGCGTAGATAGTGGAGGAAGCACAAGTATCAGCAACGTGCTTCACTTGATTTCATAACCACAGGCAAGATCCTAGTAAGGACAAACTCTGTGAAATAAACCATTTAACCAACTTGTTCACGATAGCTTTGAGGAGTACAGACTACTTTGTTGTGTAAACATCTGGAGTGGCTGCTGGTAATTACCATCATGTGCAGAAAGTACTACTAGTAAAGGATGCCCTTTGAAATCTAACCCTTCAATAAAACTCAAGTCGAGTATACTGGGTGTTTTCTGTAGTTGCGATGCGAGATTGATTAAGCCTGACTCTTCCTTCATGTACAGAAGATACTCATTCACGATGGGTCTCAGAGATATTGATCCTTCCAGGTTCTTCTCTTTGTAACGAGTTATTGGTATCCATGCAACCAACACTACTTGAATCAAGTTCTGGTATATGGACATGGCTACCAAGGTAACACCTCGAATCTGCAAGAACAAATCATGTTGCAATTCGAGTAACCGAGGTAAACAATTTGCGGAAGTCGCAGCATACATGTTTCCCATCGAAGCACGACTGCGTCAGCTGATTAAAGCGCTCTGAACTTTATAAACTTGATGTGAATTTTATGAAAGACATTCTTCCTTCGTGAGAATGGAAAAATCCGGTGATTAGTTTTGCAAAAGCTTACCTTGTTGATCCAATCTTTTGCTCCGGAGTCACGACTTCGAGATGTTTCCATGAGAGAACTCATAGGTGTCTTTTCTGGCAAAACCAGTGGCTTTGACAATACAGAATGCTGGACAAGAGGTTCCAGCTTATCGTGGTCCGCTTTTATTATATTGATTGGTACATCTCTGACCGTCAACACAGACCACTCCAGTATAAAAACCTTTCCCTCATCATCTGTGACCTGGAAACATTTGAGGATTTGGAGAATCAAACAACATCTTAGTGAAAAGTGCGGGCAGACTGTATTTTCTCAATTCGCTCTATGAAGAATGTCGTGAAAAATGTATCCTACTTCCTTCCGACCTGAACTGCAGATAGACCGTATGGTACTTCTATTATGAGCATGTGAGACTCAGATTTTTTATGAGATGAAAGCTACAACGAGGGTGCGGAGTAACTGTACCAGTATTCTGTCAAGGCTTGTAGAAGCAGAGCAAGCATTGGTCCTCGGGTTCTCCAAGACCTCACAATTACAAACTAGAACCCAGAAGTCTGTACTTGCTATAAGAATTGGCTTTTCCTTCTCGACTTCATACACCTCCAACAAATTCTGCACATGAGGAAGAGAAGTCAACACAAAACCTAATCTCAAGTTTCATGACTCCATCAAACTGCTATTATTCCCGCACAATCATCATATTCAATTTTCTCGAGCCACTCTTTCGATTTCTTTCATTCTTCTTGCAAACAACGTCATCAGCTGGCAATGTAGAATGAGTATGCATACCTCCTTGAACACCACGAGCTGCGGTACACTGGGTCGTGTAAAAGCAGCGACAGTTGCAGCTCTTACGAGGCCGCTCGCCTGAAGTTTCCTGCAGGAAATGGTCTTTGCTGGTGACATCGCAAATCTCACGGCAGGATGATCCTTTCTCTCGTTTGACCTTAACTTGGTAAGTAGACCACCTGATGATGGCAGACCCGACTTGATTTCGGTCCAGTCAGTGATATATCCCAGGCGCTCTTGTTTCTCAGAGCTCAGAAGTTCGGAAAAATCTTCGTAACAGACTCTACTTTTCCTGCCCTCTGTCAACTTTGGCTTTCAAATCAGCATTTCAAGAACAGGGGTAGGGGAACTGTCCTCAGAGACTCCGCTCGTTTGGACTGCCACCTTTGCATTCGACCAAGATTAGGGAGGCAATTCTGATTGAATCGTGAGGGCCCCTGCCTCTCGCTTCGACATATCAAAGCCGACAAGAATATGAACGATATGAATTCTTCGTGCTCTGCGTACTTGTGTTCACTGAACACATTCATTTGTGGGTGGACAAGATTGAAATTTCTTCACCGGGGAGTTATAAATATTTCTCAAGGTCGCGATATCGCAGTTCACTCCAGCATTCGCGGCAACTCTTAAAGAATATTTGTTACGTTCTCACGCAAAAAGACATTGCTTTCGGCCTGTTTGATTTGCGGATCTCAGTTGGTGTAGTCAATCGTTGTTTCTCGTAACCACCTAACCGTACATCTTCGGAATGTGGGCGTGTAATCGACTGAGCACGACTGAGCACGATAGAATTTCAGTGCATGAAAGTAATTTGTTTTCTCTGCGAATCTAAAGATATTTTCTGGACACTGACTACACTGAAACTGTGGTTCAGTAATTCACCGGAGACTTCTTGAGAGATGAACTGAAGATGCCCACAAGATTACCTCAGAGATGCATTTGCAGAATCCATTTGTGTTCTCACTGTAGGAGAATCGATATTTCGGGAGCAGTGGTTGAATTTCAGAGTGAAGAATCTTTGAAATTCGACAGGGGCAGAGTATGTGCAAACAATCATAAAAGACGCAGTTCAAATTGCAGCTTTCACTTCTTCGATTGCTGCAAAATCCATAATTCAACTGATTTACAACTGATACAGTTCCACAAGAAACTCGATGCCATTCGTGTCCGGAGAAGACACCTTATGTCCAGTCAACTCTGGGGGCAGTGAGATCCAGACTTGTTTTCGTCGTAACAACGATGGTATTCATCGGTCATCTTAACATCTCATTTACTTCCGCACAACTGTTCCTACGTAAACGAGGAAGAAACTGACGATCTCGACACTCGAAGAAATCACGAGTAATGTACCATATTGGATGGAAATTACAGCATTGCCATTAAAAATGATATATGAAATCATTTTCATTGGCATTAATGAAGTCATAGAATATATGATGTACAATCATGAATTTGTATTATCCTGAACCAATTCATTATTTAATTAATTTTTTTCTATATATTGAAGAGGTTGAGTAAAATCATGTTAGGAGAAATCCCTCATTTCAAATAAGAGTAGATTTAACAACTCTCAATCTCTTTCGTGCAGAGAGTATGATCACAAAATGATCAAGCCATGATCACTGAGAATACAAATGACATGATTTGATAATACACAATTCTAAGGAGACGCGTTCATCAAGCTGGGTTTGACCCAAACCCAAATTGCAGTTCTAGAACTAAAACTCTGAGTGGTAGGATTTATATAAACCTAAGTCTAGAAACCAATGTTATGAGAAGTCCATAGCAAAAATTATAGTGCAGTTATTTCATTACAAATTGACTCTTCGAGGTACATATCAACAAAAGGGCACTTGTAAGTGTCCACTACACCATCTTTATTTAAATTGGACGCAAGCTATGACTTCAAGAAGAAAATAAAACTTTTAAAAATAGCTAGCCATGAATTAACTGATTTCTAAAAATCAGTCAATTCTAGAAGTTAAGTCTAAGAATCAACGAAAGTCCGTGATTGCGCTAAGTGTGTATGACAAATCGATCAATCTATTTAGATTGATTGATTTGATCATATATCTTATACATTGACTAATGTTGGGACACGGTTAACGGTTGAGGAGCGGAGATTGGATTGACTCTCGATCGAGAGTATAGTTGAGGCGAACTCGAAGAATTGTTAGTTCTTCGAGTTGAGTCTTCCGCGTAGGGAGTTGTCAGTTCCCGCTAGTTTCTACTCTACGTCTCCGATTGGAGTAAGTTTGGCTCGACTAACATGTGGACTTTTGTGTCATCTTGAAAATCAAATTTCACTCGAAGGGTGTAAACAACGTGAGGTTACGCAAAAACTACATATCACACCAAGTATCGAACTCCTTAACGAAATCATCCAGCTCAATGGTGCCCATTGCATTAAAGTACCGTCGTGGGTACTTCATGGCCCCGTACATCCCGTCCATGTCCCAAATCAACGAGTTTGGGACACTAGATGATATCACCACAGAAGATCTAGTATCTGCAACACCTTGCTCAACCTGAACAACTGATAAGATAGGTAAAGATAGCCGATACCTCAACCCACTCCTCATAAAACCTCCTCGGTCCTCGACGATACCACCGAACTACACCATGATGACCAACTGGCACCACTGCCAAATCTCCACCAGACTTTGTCCCTGCACCAACCTACTCTAGCCCTACTAGCTATGGGTATGGGCAACCTAACCCATCATCACCACAAGAAGACTCTCACGGTACATTAGTCATCACTCCAATCTCACCGTGAGAGAAACAAAGATAGGTCGGCCGGTGATCAAGTCAAGCCGCACTGTCGACATCACACATGCGTAAAACTACTCCACAAACCAGCATCAATCCATACACGGGCACACATCAAGCAACAAGACTAGAGAGTATCCAAACACAAGCAAACATCTAGCAACGACTCTCCAGTCTAAATGAGTCACAACACAGAACAACACAACACACAGTACATCGTTTCGCATAGCAAAGCAATGTCCGCCAAACTCACTATAGATGACATTCATAGCGATCCCAAATCAAACTTCATCATCCCCTATCATCTTCCACCTCTAGCGCTTGCAACACTATCTCGTGCATCATGTAGCAAAGAGAATATCCACGCTGAGCTATGTCATACTTCACTTCCTACCTCCATTTCACACTATCAATAGGGGCAAGGAATATAAAACTGTACATTTACCCTAACCGTTCCTCATAAAAAAAGAAATACAGATAAAATTTATGCTTCCACCATTTTAACAAACATGCACACCAAGCCCTAAAACTTCTAATACAATTTTGATCACATCATATGTATAGAAGTACAATGTCTTCATAATCAAAAAACCATACAGGTCACTTTAGAACATCTCTCAAGAATATATTTCCTCTGTGATTTTTGTAAGAGCACAATATCTTAGTTGTGATAACTTTGTGTGTACACTCTCGTTCCTTATGTATGTGTGAGTGAATGAGTAAAGCATGTCAGCGATGTATGATGTATGGTGATACCGAGTCGCACGACCACGCACACCAACTAGTAACACACAAAGATCAAAAAATTATATTAAAATCTTACAACTTCACATTGATGATTTTGATACTAACAGCCTTGTTGTTATCAGAATCAGCCTCAATCAAATCAGCATATCAAGTATCAATGACTGATCTAGTCCGTGGCAAACAATTTCTCAAAATTTCAAACTTCCAATAATATTTCATCTGCATCCGTGAACTCTAATCTAAACAATTAGAGTGAAAAAGAATGAAATTTGAAGCTTTTGTTGGATACGAGTGCAACGTCTTTGATTTACTTCATTTATCATGTATTAATTAATTCTCCATGTCATTTGTGTTAATGTCACAAATAAATTGAAGATGATTGATTTATTGTGTCTATTATCTTTCATGTCTGATTCTTGTTAATTGATTCAATCTCTTAATTCCATATAGTTTTCCAACTTGCATATGTCACTACATGTTGAAATATGATTGGATCTCCATAATTAATTTAGAGTTTGAAGACATTTTTTTCATCAAATTATGCGTACTAAACACATGACTTGTCTATTGTCGTTCATAAATCCATGATGTTGAAAAAGATTCAATTTGATGCATTGTTGTTTTGGACTATGTACTCTCTTCATCAACAAAGTCACCATCATTGTCACTTGAGTTCTAGAAATCAAGCGGCAGGCACGTCTATATGTGAAAGCAATGTTGAACTTGAACTTAGTATCATTTTTTCAATTTCAACTTATTCATCACACAAACTTGCGCTTGATTTCACTTTCTCAACTTCATCCTACTCACTATCATTTCTAGGAAATATAAAAAATGTGTTCTTCACGTGTCTGAGCAAGAAAACCTATCTTTGATAAGAACATTTCTAGTGATAATAATTTTAAACGTTTGGACAATATACTCTATATGCTTTTGACTCATTGTCATAGCCAACCAACATGCATCGTTTTGATTTCATGATTTTCCTACGTTCTTACTTTGGATAATTAACATGAGCTATGCTTGTAAATATTCTAAGATGAAACAAATTGGATTTTTTATGATATAATAGTTTGAATGATGTCTATCCATTATCTGTTTTTTTTGGACTGGTGATCAACAGAAGAGTTGATGTATTAACTACTTCACTTCATAATAACCTGCATAGTTGAACTTCAAGTGCCATTGTTTGAGTATTTTTTATTATTGTTCTGTTACATTGTTCTGAAATTGCATTATACTGAGGTGTTTGAGTTTGTGTCACATTTTTTGTAATGCCTTCTCCTTGCAAGTATGCTTCAAACTACTTGGATATATACTTGCATCTTTTGTTTGATCTTAAAATTTTGATATTCTTATCTATTTTTCTCTCTATCGTTGCTTTGAAAATTCAGCCGTAGGTTTAATTCTTTGTCCTTTCAAACGTGATTTTTGAATAACCTTCAATGAATGCTACAAAGAACCTAGACTTGCTTAGTTAAGTACACGCCAAAGTTCATATTACATCTGTAAGAACTAGTTTAAATTGTTCACTAGCTTTGTTGGTTGATGATCTAGGAAATTTTTCTCTTAATTGCTTATCAACCTCACATGATGTACAAATTTTATGATTATCATCTATTCAAGTCATTCCTACTACATGATTCTCGCTAGACAAGTAACGTAATCCATAAAAGTCAAAATGACCAAACCTACGATGCCATAAGTTTGCGTCTGTTCTTTTCGTCATGTTGTTTATCTCAACAATTGATGAATTAAACATGTAAAACTTGCAACATTGGTCTCGACTACATGTAGTTATAACTTGATTGTTAATCAAGTCATACATGATCCAACAATATCTTTGTGAAAATTAGATAGCATGGCCCTTATCTGCAAGTTTACCTATTGAAATTAAATTTTTGTGCACAGACATAAAGAATATTGTCAAGCTTTATTCCATAAGTCTATACTCAAACATGAGCATTCTCATGTTCTACTCCAAGCTTCATATGTGAGCAGGTAGAGGCAAAATGTACCACACACCAAACAAGCAATATTATTACATTCACAAACCAGATGATATTGGTGAAGTCATGGAGGTCCGTTCTTTACTCTAATGTATCGACAATTATGGAATCATTGTGCATTCCATTGAGATTTCTACCATACTCACATCTCATTGGTGCACGTTGTCAGTGCAAAGCTAGAACTGCATCTTCTTCAAATTGTTTATTTCTCATATCTTGTAAGTGTACCTCAATGAGAAGTTTGGAGATATTAATTTTTAAAAAAAAGTAAGCTTCTTCAAAGCAACAATGCATTGAGTAACTCTTTTGTAAGATTGTGGCAGTTCATCAAGAACAAATGAATTCATTGCCTTGTCAGATAAAACCTCTCCCAATGACGATAATTTGTTCTTTAACTTCCAAGCTTTATAGATATATTGTGTAATCGATAATATCTCCATCATCTTGAGTGAGTGTAGCTATTGTGACAAGAGAAGTATTTGTTCTTGATCATACAAATGAAAATTCTTCTTTAGCATTTGTCAAACGTCAGCTGAATCATCATTCTCAGACACTAAATCCACAAGATCATCATTTCATCACAAGACATTGTAATCTTCACATGTTCTGTGTTCTTCAGTTTCATCAACTCGATCTTGTTCACAAGTATGTCATTTCTTGTCACAAGTAGCTTCTCATCATCTTGATTTTGTTTGTAGTCATTTCCCAGGAGTCGAATCTTTTGCGCATGGAACACATCTTCAGTCGCCAAATGCAATAGCTAGATTTTCCCACCAACTTGATGTTGTCTCTTGCAAGCATCATCTTGCCATCTCCATCCATGACGAGGCAATTCGCACAATGGAAAAAAAATAAACCTCATTTTAGAGATCTTAGCTCACTATTTCTATTAGCTTGATTGATCTGGCTCTGATCCATTTTAGAAAAACAATGTTCACCTTGAACGAGCTCTTGATTATTGTCACGGTACTTCCTTATATACAATTTTTGGTGTAGCATGAAGACTTCGCTAGGTAACTTCAACGGCATACCACATATTTATCACTACCTTATTTGTTTCCTATCTATTGCTAAGCAGCTGTGTGACTCCCACATCATGCTTTTAAGGAGTGTTTATTCTAACAACATCTTGAATATTTTAGCTTTGACATATTTCAACATTTGTTTCTTAAACAAAAAATTTAATTTGTTTTTCATTAAAATCACATGACTCGACACAAGCACATGATGATGTAGATAAATTTGACTATGAATCTACTATATTAATCTATTCGATTGATCACAAAATAGCTGAAATTTCGGGGTCTACATACATTCTGATCACTCTAAAACTTGTGTTACATCCAAATTATGAAATTCACAGGAAATGTTTATATCCAAAATTCACAAGAAATTTACTCGTCAATGCTTAAGACCTACATTAAGTGTACACCTCTCTCTGCATTGTTGCAATCAACTTTATGTTGTACGTGTAAAATCCAAGAGAAACACAGCAACATAGAAATAACGTGGTTCACCCTCAAGAAGAGTACTACGTCCACCAAGAACACGAGTACTTTTATTTCAGGTCATTTCCGGAAAGACATTTTGTACGAGACGAACCCCGAGATATTTATCCCTAGTCCAAGCAATTGTCCTAGCTATTTGTAGCTAAGACCCGAGGTTACTCATTAATTAGAGTTAACCTCAACATACGTGCACTTTACACAAGATCTAAAGGTTTTGGTTATTATCACAAATATCTTTGACTTGATATGAAGGATGTAGTAGGCTTACTTACCTGAATGGATGGAAAATCTGCATGTCAAATTCATTTGTTTTACGTCTTAAGATCTGCTTGACCTCTACAGGTTGTAGCAAGCATGATCATGTAATGAGCAACAGAAAGAAGTACAGTATAGAAGGTCAGGATCTGCTCTGCAACTGGCCTGCCCTTGTGGCCATCATGTTCTGTATATTGGCTGAAGAAACTCCAAACTCCATATTGCAACTATGACCAAAATAACAAGGAGGAGTGATTCTTTCTTTCCCAACGTTTGAAACCTACTTAAGCTAATCGATAAGTACATGCGCTCGGAGAGCAGAAGGTAGCGTCAAGCTTCTACTCGCAAATCTGCGCGGACGTATGAACATGAAGTTCATATTCTAAAAAAATATAGTCTTTGAGTATCTTTCAATTTGCGCTTGACAGAGAAAAAGTAATGTCGCGGCCACATGCTTATAAAGAGCTCAATGTCGATGACACCATCCAGTTGTTAATGCGCACAACGCCAAGATGGGTACCATGAGGCAAAGTAGACTTTAATACATAATAAATGTGGGGATTGCTAGTTATCCTCACGTAGGGCTAATTAACCCTCACACTAGTATAATCTATTCTCTTGTTGATTGAAGAGTTACACCGTGTCTTGATTGCTACTCATCCTACATCTACCAATCAGATAAGAGTATGGAGTAAAGTGAGAGCTAATTAGCGAGGACTAGTATTGTATTGTGCATATTATCATGTAAGTATTCTAAGTAGGACAATTAATATCACAAATTTTTTTATCACTTTAAATTAAGAATAATATTTCTATAATAATTTTGATATTAAACAGAGAATTTTATTTCAATCCATTTTTTTCTTTCTAAACACAGTATAATGTGAGTGAAATGAATAAAAATTATTAAATCAAAATTATAAAGATGTAAATAATTTATTTAAATTGATCATAACATAATTGAAATATTAAAGATCGTCATGTATACTTTGTATCAGTAGAAGTCTAACGGTTGTATATATAGCACAAAATCAGGTCAATCCTCCAACTGGCTTTCAAAACGTTATTTCTAAATACGTTCAAAGTGAGATAGGACAGTCGATATACACAGACAATGCCGAATCCCATCCAACACGGGTCACAGAATGAACAGTTGACCTTGCTATTTTGAATCAAAACATTTACCAGAACTATAATTAGATGCAAGAAGTTGACAAAAATGGGCAAAAATGGACCTTTCCCTTGCAACACGGGTCACTTTTCGGAAAAGTTGACCCGTGCTCGGAAAGAAGCCAACGAACAAGCTTCTATCAAACGATAGCGCACACAGAAAAGACATCCGTTCGCAGTCGTCGCCTCTTCCGCATCTTCTCGTGATTTCAACAGGTTCAATCTTTAAAGCTCCTGTCAATCAGGTTCAATCAATCCAATGAAGAGCTTGCCCTGTGGACACTAAGTACATTACTTTCGAGCACCTCGTTGACTGTAATGTAAATGAGAAAGCCTCGTACCGGGTCGTACATCGGTGATGCTATCCCCTCTGGCCCCGTTCACTAAAGCGAAAGCAGCACGCATCGGACGAAGTCTACGACAGGATGCAAAGTTTAGCAAATTGCGGCTAATAACAATAATGACGATGTACATTGGACGGCTGCGTGACTGATGCAGGCAGCGATAGCGTACTGTACTCCATGGTGGCATGCCGGGCAGCAGCTGGTGCGACTCATGTCTCCTTCGATCGGCGAGAATTTAGTCAGAGAATTAGAGAAGGGGCTCCACAGCTCCCTCCTCACTTTAGTGACAAGTCACTTTGGCCGCAGTTCGCACTTTATTGAGCAGAAAGAGCAGGACGGTGGCCATCCCTATTTCGAATACACCCGAACCTCAAGGAAATATAATCTGAATTGACTGACTGGGAGTGGATATGAGTATGTTCTGAGAAGATATTATATCCTCATATATTGTGGAATAAAAAATTCAACTGAGTATGCCGAGAGTTGAGAACATGCCTTTCTCTTGTCTATTAGCCTTCCATTCATGTATAAATCGAACACTTTGCAGAATAGTCTAGTTAGTATTCTTAATTTGATGGTTTCAACCGATTTCTCTTAATTGAGACAGAGTTACTTTTCTTCTCCAATATTCTCATTTTTCCATCGATTGTAATACAGTACAACCTACTAAGAAACGTACAAATACTTGACAAAATGTGTATGATAATTTCAAGATTTAGAGTATTATAAAGAATTTCCTCATATGAGATGAGAGAATACAACGTGTGATATATAATTTATCATGCTGATTTGTCCTACTCATTTGAATGTGACTTATGGTGCACTAAGTGGCGTAATGAGACGGTATGTGATGTACTACATTTGTTATTGTTCATGAAATAAAAAATAAAAAATTTCATAAAAAAACAAATATTCTTATGATCGATAACTTGTTAGTGTATATATGCATACATTGATCATTTGTTATTGTTCACGCAACAACCCAAAAAAAAAATTAGTTCATAAAAAAATAAAAGTCCATTATCGACAACTTGTTAGTGTATATCTGCAAACATTGACTATCTTGGATCCATTAGTATACAGAGAGAGAGGAATGGATGGTGCAGTGGATCAATGAAGTACTGTAATCTTTATGGTACGAAGTTAGATAATGGGGACATTATAGGTGCACCATTTCCTGTGGCCATGCGATTGGGGCAGGGCGAGTCTGCTACTCCTTTGGTTGACGGAGTCGTCCCTCACTTTAGAGAGCAAAGTTCGGATGTACGCATGGTGGTGATGATGTCAGTGTCAAGGAATGTCGTCGTCGAGCAGAAGATATTATGTCTGGATTTTGACGGCAGCGACCGTGTGTCCAAGACGAGCCCAGGAAACGTGGTCAGAGTCGAGGTGATGTTGCTCCCTCAGGCGCCGCTGACTTTCGTCAACGGCGTCCGCCGCTGCGCAAAATCACGATTCGCGCCACGAACTCGTTCGCTCGCACCGCTCGCTCTCATGGATTTCTGCACTCCTGTGCGACCCGCACCTTGTCGCCGGCTCCCATTGCTGCAGCAGCAGCGTTTCGATCCACTGGGCTGTATCTTTCCCTCCCTGCTATGGGTCGCGAGATCAGCGAAAAGGTTCGTTTGCTGCTGTCTTTTGATTCTGATGCCGGAGATTCTTGTTCGTTTCCCAAGCTGCTTCTCGAATTCGCGGAGTTCGAATTAATTCTGATTTTCGACCATCTCGGAAGATTGGAATCGTTGGAAAAGGTTCGCATGCGATCGTTTTTCCTGAAATTTATCTGAATTTTCAGACTCTCGTTCTTCTTCTGTAGTCGGCGCATCTGCAGGGAGGCGAAGGAGCGAAGCGCGACCAGATTCTCGAAGAAAGCAAATTGTCGCAGATCTCGGAGACGACGAAACATGGCGAGGGAGCATTGGAATCCCGTGGAGCTGCGAACGGTAGCTGGAATGCGGAGACTCGGGACGAAAGCAGCCCTCCCGACACCTTGCAGAGGTACGAGCATGCTCTCGACGGAAGCACGGATTGGTATGGACGACCCGCTCGCAGAGCAACGACGGGAGGCTGGAAAGCCGCCAAATACATCACAGGTACGTCAGTTCTGATCTCAGCGATTTCAGCAATCACAGCCTGCTTCTAATTTATCAGACTTGTGAGTTCCAGCAATCCGTCGGAATGCTGAACTTAGAGAAGATTTCAGAAACATATGCCGCCGTCGTCGTGGTAATTCTTACGAGCGCATTCTCTGCTAACGCTCGAATTGCTCTGAATCGCCCTGCAGTCGAACAAGTGCTCGTGAATTGGTCCTACTTCGGAATCGGCAAGAACTTGGTCTTGTACATGACGGCCGTCATGCACCAGGGCAATGCCGACGGATCAAACTACGTGACCAACTGGATGGGCGCAGTTTTCGTCGCACCGCTCATCGGTGCTTTCATGGCCGATTCCAACCGTGGACGCTACTTCACAACATTCGTATTCTCTGCCCTGTTCGGAATCGTAAGCAATCTTCAATACATTTCTCCAAATCCATGTGAAGCAGATCTCGAGTCGAGAGACAGAATTGCTAAGCACGCATCAGTCCCTGCATGCAACCCCAAGGCTGCAAATCCTCCTGCTTAGAACTCAGATTCTGATTGATCTGCATTCACAGCACGCACCAGCAATTCTAGAAATTTGATCTTCTTTTCGAGCCTGCTTAGAAGGCTACCTTCCCGAATCCCAAATCTGACAGTGGGGGTGAAAATGCAACTGAAGAAGCTTGGATTCTGTACATTTGGACGACTAGTAAGAATGTGGCTAAGTTTTATGCACTCGGTTCTGCCACAGGGGCTGCTGATACTGACCATATCAACGAACATACACTCTTTGAGACCACCTCAATGTCCATCCCGGGATCTGAATTGCAAGTCCGCCACGGCAGTTCAAAGCACAGTTCTCACAATCGGATTGTACATGGCCGGCATTGCGTTCGGTGCTTTGACACCGCCCGTCACTGTCTTCGGAGCGGACCAGTTCGATGAAAATGACGCAGTGGAGAGAAAACAGAGAAGCTCGTACTGGAACTGGAATTATCAGGCGATCACGCTCGGAGCCATGGGAGCTGCCATCGCCATTGTGACGATTCAAGAGAATGTGAGCTGGGGTCTGGGGTACGGCATCTGTGCTGGATTGGGGTTTGTAGGCATGTCCTTTTTCGTCGGGGCCTCGAAGTTGTATCGTTTCCAGAAGCTCCAAGGGAATGCAGCGATGAGGATCGCCCAGGTGCTGGTGGCGGCTTCGCGGAAACTCACTCTCAGAGTTAAAGATGTCGATAAACTGTACGAAGAGATCGATCCGGAATCAGAACAAAAGAAGAAGATTAACCATACCAATGGTTTCAAGTAAGTCTGCCCTTCTCATATTACTGACTGCTCCCGTATTCTTACAATCCACTCCTGGTTTCGTTGAAACAAATATCATCGACTCGAAAGCTTCCCATTCCACGAGATTGTGTTCTTAGGAAAACCAATGTTCCGAGTGCAATGAATGTTTCGAAGTCTGATGTGAGTTGTTAAGACATGACAATGCCTAATGTTCGAAATGCGGACGAACCTTGCCGCATACTAGATTTGATAATCTTGTGAGAATGAGTGAGAAATGTTCGTGCTTCATGAAATGGTCCTTTAACCTCTAGAGACTCTCAGCTTAACTATTAAATCTAGAACTGCTGAACAAACTATTTAACTGTACCCAGTAGACAATGCTGAGTGGAATAGTTGCAGCTCGCATGTATTGTCTGAACCTCCTCAGTTGCCCATGACCCTAGAATTGAATTGAATCTCATTCCTGGTGTGCCATATCTGAGAATGAAATTATATGTGGCGCAGAATTCTGGACAAGGCCGCATTATGGACTCCCAAAGACCAGAAGGCTGTACAAGTCACAGGTAAAGTTAATCAGTGGTACCTGTGCCCCGTCACTCAGGTGGAAGAAGTGAAATCGGTCCTGAGGTTGCTGCCGATTTTCGCCACAACCATCATCTACTCCACTGTCTACATGCAAATGACCACCCTCTTCGTGGTGCAAGGGGATAGCATGGACACGAGAGTGGGGACGATCAAAATCCCATCAGCAACCCTGTCCGTGGTGGAGCAGATCACCATCGTACCTGGGGTCATATTGTACGATCGATTGCTGGTGCCAGCTCTCAGAAGATACACTGGCCATCCCAAAGGGTTCTCGGACCTGAAGCGCATGGGAGTGGGTCTAGTGCTGTCCATCATAGCCATGGGAGTATCAGCTCTGGTCGAGGCTAAGCGACTGCAAGTGGCCCGACGCTATGGCTTGCTAGAAGCTCAGGACGAGGAGACGGCGCCAGTGCCTCTGTCGATCATGTGGCTGATCCCCCAATACTTCCTGGTGGGCATCTCAGAGGTTTTCACGTACATAGGATTGATGGAAATGTTCTACGATGAGTGTCCCGAGTCGCTCCGAAGCGTGAGCAACGCCATTCAGCTCCTGACGAACTCCCTCGGCAGCTACTTCAGCACCATTCTCATCACAGTCGTGAACAAGGTCACCAGAAAAGACGGTGGATGGATCTCCAACGACAATCTGAACACGGGCCATCTCGATCGCTTCTACTGGCTCATGGTCGTTCTGAGTCTGATCAATTTCCTCCTCTACGTTTTCTTCGCCATTCGATACAAACCTCTGCAAATGGTGCACCCTGTCGGACGCCCTCCAGTCGAGCTCGTGCCCTTTGACGATGGGAGCAAGGGAGGAGTTAACGGCCAGGATCCGAGCTCTCTTCTCACTCCACAAAAGGAAAAAGAAAAAGAAAGCTTCCGAGCACCGACAGGAAAGCAGAAACCTTCTCTTTCATCGGAGACTTGAATCTGTTTTCAGTTAACTGTAATTCAATAACTCAGTTTTGTTAATTTAATACGAGGTCAGGCATCATTGGACCAAGATTCTGAAGTATCTCTGAATTTTTAGTGCATTGTATATATTTACACTTGAAGATAAAATTCCGATGATCATGATAAATGTCACACAGCGCACAACATTGGCCGATACGATTCGTGACTTGTATTCTAGAAAATACGTGGGACATGGAATACATTGTTTTCAATCATAACTCAAACTCGAAAATCCTTAGATGTATGGTTTATTGAAAGCATGCGAGGTCGTGACCCCAATTGCTACATTGAAAAGTCTACCAAATCCTAGAATGACCACTCTAGTCCTACTATCGGGTGCTATCGAATGAACCTCTTTATAAACTCTACACTTTATGAATCATCCATATCTTCATACATCTGCTCAACCCCTTCTGCCCCTTGATCTGGATCCTCTCGATCTGCCAAATCTGATCAAATGCATGGCAATCCAGAGCCTGGCAAGCCTGGGAGGAGTTGTTTCCGCAGCCACAGGGAGGGGAGCGTTGGAACTCATCTCTCCTTGTTTCTAGCCGACCGCAATTCCCGTGAATGCAGAGGTGTAAGCCAGAGTCCTTACGGAGAGCCAATAGGAAGGGAACTTGTTTGCAATGTGTAACAGGGGAGGGGGAATGGGACAACAAGAATCACTCAGCAGCGAGAAACCACCTCCTCCCTGCAGAAGTTTGTAGACATGTGGACGGTCTAAACTCTCCCATAACTGGAACCGTGCATGATCTACAAGAGCTCTTTGTCTAAGTTTTCGACAAGCTTTTATGCATCGATATATATAACTCACATACTATTATAAATCAATCTATTAAACATGTTCTGCATAATGCTTCAACGGCTTGATTGTGAGTATTATGCACAATATATAAAAATTGATTCCGAGAAATAATAGAATACTGCAATCTAAATCATAACATGAATAATTTTGATCCTATATAAGATCATTTTATAAACTGTTCTAAAATTTCTTAACATGCTTATCATGACAAGAAACGAGATATTTAGACTTATGCGATTGCATTCAATTCTCTACACGGGAAAAACCGGTAAGAGACTTGAGGGTGGAAAAAATTGATGAAATATACGCTGCATGTTTTAGAATGTGTTCAAAACACAACGCAATATCAGATGCTTTGGCAAGCTTTGAGTTTCAGAGGGCCAACCAAATTTATTGTCTGAAACAGACTGCCGGATTTAGAATGGAGCCGTCAGGGCTTGCCCCGTACAGTCCCTAACCTTGCCGGCTATATCTCCCCGAGTATGGTGTCAACCCGTAGTCAGGGCACGCTGTAGTCCAAGTACTCTTACGAAGCAAACGAAGTCAACTTCTTTCTAGTTCCATTTCCTAAACGACATCGCATCAGCTTCATTACTTTTAAATTGGCGATCCGTTTTCTAAAACCTCCACTTCATTCCTTGACTACTCGATTGAAAGATCATAAACTCTCACTGATCCGTGAGACAGCTAGTCAATTTAGGACAATCAACCATAAAACGTCACCGGCATTGGATCGTGCATTAGCAATACTACATTGTTGGATATGTCCAACTCGTTTATCATTTATGTCTCGAAAGTTTTCATTCTTCGCTTATTTGTTGGAGAGGTGGACATTCAAACCATGTGAACTCGCGACCACCAACTTCCACTTCCTCCATAGTATCGACCGATGGACCAGGTCATGGAACTGACCAGACAGACAGACTGGCTGTTGGGGAGCTCGTTAGAGCAGCCATTTAGACAACGCTATACAAAATTATAACGACAACAACTGATCAGCATGTTCCAAAAAGTGACATTTACATTGCACCATCTTGGCATAAAACGAATAAAACAGATACTTATATTCGCACACAGGCAAACCAACAGTAGACTCGTGCCACACAAGCAGAACAATGACACGGTATTAAACAGCATCGTGAACCGATAATTAATTTCACTTCAACATACAAACACATGGGACAGGCAGTATTTTGTGTACGTGATCTAAACATATACTGTACTTCTACTCAATGGGGCTCAAAATGTCGGGTTTTCAAGAGCAGTGTCAACAACGGAGCCGTACAAACCTTCTAGCTAAGCTCTTTTGTGGTCCTACCGACCCCCTGGTGCTGCTCCTTGTCGCAACAGGAACGTCAAACCAGATGCCACAGGTATTGACAAGAATAATAATTATAAAATGTCCGAATTCGATGGTGAGGGAGGACCATCGAAGAAGTTGGATGAGGACGATGGAAAATTCTGATATCGCCGGTCTTCGTCCTTCGAAATATCCTTGTAGCTTGGTGGCTCCTCATTTCTCGTGTAAGGCCTGTAACTAGGCTCTTCATCCTTGTAACCACCAGGTGCGTCCAATCTCGCGTAATTGTTTGATTCTCCAACAAGTGACCTTCTGACGTTGCTTATAACCCCACCATCACCCATCATGCCACCTGGCCACTGCTGCTGCGACATTGGAGCGGGTGAGAAGCCTGGTGGACTTTGTGGCCTCCCCGCCCCTACACCACCAAACGCGTCTTGTGTCATCATAAGTGACTTCCTCACAGCGCTGTGTTCCGGTCCATGAGTCCTGGATTTCCTCCTCTCTTCCACGGCCTCCCTCCTTTCTTCCTTCAGAGAATTCCTTCGTGCTTGTCTGTTCGCCCGTCCGGCCGAAGTTTCATTCCACGATCCACTTTCCACCTCAGCTCCACCTGTCACGGTTCCATGTGAGACATTACATGCGGGGTTGATGTTTAAAATTTCCTTCCGGTCGTACTAGAATGCAAAGTGTGGTGCTTTCGACATCAAGACGATGAAGGTTGTCAAAGCTAACTGACCAGATATGTTTCCGGCATCCTGTGCGTTACTGGCTCCTCCCAAGCCAAGAGCTTGAAGAGCCCCCTGGGCCGCAGGTCCACTGCTTATACTTTGGCCATAAGTTTTCCAACACATGTAGAAAGCGCCACCAAATATAATTATGCAGATAATTACTCCAATTGCGCTGCCAGCTGAGCTTCCTTTCGGTACGTTGCCATCAGTGCTCTTTACCGAAACGTTGAAGCTCATGCTCAGATTCTTTAATACAAGCGCATCTGGAACTTTTAAGCACTGCCCGGCTGGAATCATTACGTACCCCTTTAAACACATGTCGCATGCATCTCCTTGATATCCTGAAATGCAAGAAATTTCGTCCATGTCAATCTAACCGGGATACGAGGAATGTGTCAACATTCATGATGGACAGTCGACGACCTTCATACGCGGGGATGATTGTGGATCCAATACTCAAGCCTATTGTTTCGGTCTGTATTAGAAATGAACAGAGGACACGACAATGCTTGAAGCTACAAATTGCCGCCAAAGTCTGCTAGTTGACAGAAGGACTATACAGTCGCTCCACAGACTGAATATTGTACTCGTCTGCTCCACCCTATGACATGAAGACTTCCGCTGCCGGATTCCAAGTTGGGAAGAGCCCATTGAGTAGGGATCCGACTTAATCCTGATCGAGAAAACCATCTGCCTAGATCTGCAGTCCAGCTTTCTGATCCGTTTATGTCTTACACCTGATCCATTAGCTGATTCGGGAACAGCGTGTTTGAGTTCTTTACCCTCGAAGCAATCACATTGGCCGCTGGCGTCATGGCAGATGCCGTTTTTAGAGCAAGGCACATGGCTTCGTGGACCATCAAGAGTGATTGGACAGGCGATAGGTACATAAGGGCAGTCTGCTGAGCAGCAAGGCCCGTCTGTTGTCGAACTCTGTCCATTCTGACTACATCTTTCACCCCGCTCGCACATTCCGTTTCCGCAAACTCCGGCTCTTGCCACATGCTGCACCTCTTTTATCTTTAAGCCTTTTATGAACTGTAAGACGCAAGCATAACAATGTTCTGCATCAGTTGACTGAGGTTGCATGTGTCCATTACGCAGTAGACATAGGAGCCAACAACCTTACGTCTCGCAGTATAACGTCTGTTTTTCGTGAGAAATGTATCGACCCGAAGTTTGAAAGACAGACGAGAGGACGGAACTATCAACATGTGAAAGAGAATGTAATGAAATGACTGTCCTCGTTCTGTTTCCCATCTTAACCTGGAGACGATGGACGTCACAGGTATGAGATTGAAACTGACGTGCTCTGCGTGTACATCCGTTCTGAGCTTTTTATGAGATGATCATTGGTGTTGGTGGAAAAAATTCATGTTGTGGAAAGAATGCATACGGACATGAGTTTACAGCAACGACAAAGATGTCAATGGTTGTGCATTTCAACAGCTGGGTCTTATGAATTTTAGATAAATAAGTACATTAAACTAATATTTCAGTGGTTAGGTCTTTATCCATTGGGGTTGAGAGTGATTGGAAAAAAATACATGTCTTTCCTATAAATACTCTTCAAATACCTCATGCATCGCACTTCTGTTATTTCAGACTTACATTAGTTTACGTAAGTGGTAAAACTAATACTTGTGAGGATGTATCCATGTAAGAATTTTACAGTTGTATGTAATGTCACTATCTAAACATGGTAAAATTCAATGTTTTGAAAATCGACTTTTGCACACGTGATAACGAACCGGGATAGCTGCAGAATCCATAGCACACAACTGTTCTACTAAGGACACGTAAAATAAAAGAAGAATGATGACATGAAGAGGGAAGACTATTTCACCGAGAAGATGTGCCCTCTTAGAGTGAATTGCTCCAGATACACGTGTTCCTTCGAAGCTCACGGAAAGAATGAAAACCTTAACAAACACATACAAATGTAGACTTTGGTAACAACAAAACTGAAGAAGACCGGGAAGGGACCAAAAAAAAAACAAAAAACAATATGAACACAAACAAGGCTCAAAGGCCATATCTTTAAATACGACTATGACTACTCAGAAACATAGTATTATCAGAATGTAAAAGTGAAGGTTGACAGGTACAGAGACGATGTATAAATTGACAATGAAAAATTCTATCTCTTGATCAGGACAATCATGGCTACTAGAGTCCAAAAACGGGCCGACATGAGGTGCAACTTACCTCTCCGTTTGGGGTATCATCAAGGCTCATCAAGATCTTACTGACATCAGCCTCTTCAATTGTCATAAAAGTCAAATTTACCTGCATAAGTGACGAGCATAAAGCCGTCGGACAGTGACAAAGTTTTGGATCAAGAGAAACCTCAGACATTTGAAACTCAACGAGTACTTTTTCCAACACAGTTGGTATGGAGCAACCCCGTGTGTTGATTATCACAGCATTCTGACGAAGGCCCTTACGTTCTATGAAATTGATAGTTACCAAAGGGATGGGAAGAACACTGAAGTTAAATATTGCAAGCAGCTGTGCATGTCCAGTTCCAAGACAGCCAAGCTTCATTTCAGAAATCGTGCTACAGTCTCCAACTAAAGTGTTCATTGTCTCCACTCCTGTCAAAACTAGTGCCTCCGTGGCAACCTGCAGTCTGGCGGCAACCTGCACCAAATTCAGTCATAACATGGGAGAAAAGACCAAAGTTTAGTCGGCACCGAGGTTCGAAGTACCTCTACTTGAGGGCGTATCTCAGCCAGGCGTCTTAGATACGCTACAGACTGTTAGCTAGGACCCCAGATCGCTGAGAACAGAGGAAAAAAACTATAGATGCGTTGTCTACAAAATGTCAACTGCATCAGCAACTGGGGAGGCTAAAAGAGACCTATGGATCAAACGCGGCACTATGGACCTCTCGAGTGAACGAGGAAGTTATTGACAGCTAATAGGGATCTATCTGCAGGATTTTATAAGTCTACAACAATTGCTATTTTACTGCAAGTTGATGAGGCAGGATACCTGCATGACAAAGAGGTTCACAAAGAAGTAAGAAGAGCATCTACCTTCATCATAAAGTCTATCATGAAAGCTTTCCAATTTACAGAAGAATTTCTGGTGACGTCAAGGGAATCATCCAGATGTGCTAGCATTGAGACATTTGTTGCGCATGTCGTGCCATCACCATCACAAATATAACACTCATCCAGTCTTCCACTTAGACAGCAAATTCCTTTCTCATCGCGAATGGAGGGGCAGCACTGGTTTTGTGAGTCGACCGATCTGAGGCCAATAAAATGCATATCGGGAACTTAGATAGTCTCGATTGAAAGGGACAATATATTTCATATACGGGTTTGATTTAAAAAAAACTATCTTCGGTATTTCTAGCTAGAGAAAATTACTCTCTTCTTAGCACCACGCCCACTTTAAACCTAGTTCCTCTATTGTACGAGATAATTGTCAATATTCTCCTTCGTCTGATTCAAATAAGTATTCTCCGAACATACATGAACCATCGTCAGAATTAAGTTTCATGTATACAGTTGCCTTAATTTTCTGATCCTCTTCCTTTATGAAAAGCCGTCCTACATTCTTGTAAGTTTACTCTGAGTGCCCTATTGAGCATGGAAGTGATCTGTGTTATTTCTGACCTCTGAGAGACAAATGATGTTCCGTGTTCACTACTATCCCATATCATAGGAGTCTCGCGTTCAAAAGTCAGTACTTACATGTGAGGTCCATTACAGATTCCACAAGCGTCGAGCGAGCCAACGCAGCATGCACCATTCTACGGAAAAATGTGCAGAATGAGTAACTCAATAGACGCAGGTAGCTCAAGGTCAATTGTTTTTAAACCGTCACAGAAAGGAAGAGACAGAAGAGACAGGGCAGGGGATGAAACTGACAACGTCTAGAAATGCATCATGATACAAACAGCAGTGTTGCTTGACGTCGATCGTTGCATAAGGGCAGCAGCCGACAGATCCATCTTTCAACACGCCGATTGGATTGCCTTTGCAGACTAAAGGTCTCTCACAGTAATCTCCTCCCCACTTGTCCATGCAAGCGCACGTGCCATTCTGTAGTTCAATCAGTTCTGTATGTTAATTTTTGCATGATAAACCATAGACTAGATTTATACAACTTTTGAGACTGTATGTTTCTCAAAATGAAAAATAAATGTGAGCAAGGCATTACATATAGTGTCATGAAGTAAGATATTAGGTAAGAGTTAACTACATATCAATTGGCGTCATTTGGCAAACAAATTGGCATCCATTTCAAACTCACAAATCTAAATCGAAGTTTTTGAGATACTTAGCACACTGCGTCATATGCAAAGAAATGCCTCAATGTGGGCTGGCAAACATTCTACTCGCTTCATGTCACCTGGTTGTGTACCTTGCATTGTCCGTTGTTTGAACAGTTGTTATATCCGCAATAGTCGCAGACAAGAGAAGGTTGTTGACAAGCAGTTCTACTTTTCGGCTTAGTCCCAGGATCACAAAATGAATCCGCTACCACTTGTCCTCCACCATCTACACACTGGTATTAACGACTTGAAATTAACTTCCACTTCCACGAATGTTGAAAGTAAAAAAAACAGATTTTGCTTTACACGCAAACGTTGGAGATTTATAAGATGGATCCCTAAAAGAGGGCATACCGCAACTACACGATCTTTTGTAGCGTTGCACACATATGGGCAGTCCTCCCAGCGCCCAATCAACCAAGCGTAGGTTTGACAAGGCTGGCACAAGCAGAATTTACTGTAAGTACCAAACGATCTGTTACATTGTCTAAATAAACGACGACTGTAAGACTACTGAGTCGAATAACGGCGATATGTTAGCGCGGGTATACTAGCAGGGAGTGGAAATATGCAGGGTATCTAACAACTGTGTCTCATGGGGTCAATGAGTGTGTTGGACCATGTCTCCTTTCGTGTTAGCATTACCATAACCGTGTCTTTTGAGCTTAACGTCAATAGCTTGCTGTGCTCCATATGGAACATGACTAAGTCAATTTGCCAGATGAAGTATTTCGCCGCAGGCAGCACAAGCTAACCGTAAACTTTTATTACGGGAAATTAACGTAAAAGACTTACAAAACATGGCCTTTCTACGAAAAGAGATCATGAAGTTGGAAAATCATCAACACTGTGGGGCTTACTTGAGTGTTGCACTCTAGCTCTCTCAAAGGTGCAAAAAGGTTATCGCACATCCCGTCATCTACAACCGCGCCATTTAAATAACAAGCAGTGGTTCGATACTTCCTGCCTCCTGCACATGGAACGTTGCAGAAGTCCCAAGGTGCAACTTCCCAGCGTGACTCGTTGCATGCTTGTTGGTTACAGGTCTGTATTATGTCAGAATCAATTTCTCCGCCACACCTTTCTGGATGTGCTGTGTTCCCCATGTTGTCCATACAGATGACCTGTCTGCGAGTACAGTAAACAAATTAATTATATTGTCAAAACCATTATCGCCCCTTGTTTGTTTTCTTCGAAAAATCAACAATCTCCCAAATAAGTACGCATGGCAAAGATAGAATATTCTCTGGTCACAGCTACTAAGGTTCCTCGCGATTCATGCCCACCACTTCAACTGATTCACGGAAAATCACCTCTTCTGTATGCCTGCTCCACAACTTCGATTACATTCATCCCAGGGTCCTTCGAAGATGGTGTAGTTGTTACATGCGACCAGATTGCACACCTGGAGATAAAGAGTTCATGAGTTTGGCATAAGTGGCAATCCATACACACCTTTCAGCCTCTTGCAATAGCAAGATTTAGCATAAAGCCACGATGTAAAGTACGAAGACCTACAACAGTATGGGGATCGATGACCAAGCATTCACACAATACTTAAATCACCCTGACCGGAAACTCAAAAACTTCTTGTACCTGGTATATAACGGGCACTGGTATTTGGGCACAGTTCCATGTATCAACCTTTGAGTAATTTCCTGTGAAGCATTGCATCACTGCTTGCTGCCAACAAAATTGAGTAAAGTTGTGGAGACCAAATTGTCTCGCTTTTGACATTTTACATCCACAATTTACGCTGATTTGGATGTCAGAGGGAAGTACATTGCAATCAGCTGTTTTGACTCACGCCGACTCTAATTCGTACCGTTGATAATTGCACTCAGAGATGCTACGCAGGCTCATGGTTCAAGCAAAGGTCAACTACTAGTACCATATTTGTCATTCAGTGATAGTAGTGAAGTTCCTCAATTATGAGTTGCGAAGATATCAACACAAGATTGCAAATCAATTGCCATCAGACAAATCTTGTCCCTGGTTAAACAAACGAACAGGTTTACTCGCTATTGATAAGATCGTCGAGCAACCTAACCAAACACAACAGAGCAGAAAACTCGGTGTAAATTCTATCATGAGTTTTCAGTTTGTTACACTTTATTCAAGCGGACATAGTCGACTGGCTTCACGACTTGAAACAAATGACTCGATCTCTGTGGATACCTGGAGACCACCAGCACAATGCTTGTCACAGGGACCCCACCTCACTGGACTCCAGAAGAACTCGGCCTGAATAGGTAACGGGGCTGGAACTGGTGGACAGTCGGCACCCTTCCAAAGTGTGCAGATTTCCTGGGCTGACCGGATAGATGTAAAGAAGCTAGAGAGCATAACTGGGATAGATGTTGGAACAGGCTGTGGGTTTGCGACCACTGCACAAAAAAGGGACCCAATTAGATTACTGAGATGATGACTAAAGCATTCAGTTTCTTACACTCTGAACATATGATTTATTAGGTAGATCGGGAACAAGTTTCTTTGCTGCAGGAGTCAAATTTCTCGACAAGGTTTTGGACATTCAATTATTGCTCAGTGTCAATATCAGCATCTTATACGAGTTACACATAAGTAGAAAATTAATCTAACACCCGTGGAAAGGTACACTAAGATAGAGAAAATGCAAAGCAGTACCTGTAACCGCTATCACGAATGCTGTTAATGCAATTTCAGTACGGAGGTTGCTAATTACGGTTATCCTAGTCCTGTGCTGGAAGAAAAGTACTTGTACCTACTTGAAAGTGCTAGAACACTCTTATTGCTGCCGGATGAAACAATATAAATTCCTTCTATCGAGCAAATAAAATGCAGCTAAACAAGAAACCGACAAGTGGTAACGACAATTAACACTAATGTCGTGAGTGAACGAGAATCCAATCCAACCCTGTGCTCGAGGAATACTATGTCCGTGTTGTAGAAACAATTTCTGTTGATAACTGCCTTGATGTTCGATGTTTTAGCTGAACGTCAAGGCAGTTCTGACGTTCGACGAAAACATTGCAGTGAATGAGTGGGGTTGATTTGCAGCAAACCGACTTTATGTAAAGTTTCGCAGGTTGGTGGTCAGATTGTTTGAGTGTTTTGAATGTTTTTGTCGTACGGCTGTCGACAATTTCATGATCGCTACCCTATCGATCAGAGATAGTTGCTAACGGCAAGGGCACTCCTTGCGGTAAGAAGATACTGATAAAATGGAGCCATTGTGTTTGATATCCAACTATGTATTTTCAGATAGATTCTTAATTGTTGTTAATGACTCCCCTTTTTATATATGAGCTACGGCAATACTAACAGTAGAATGTGGAAAACACAAAACTTGAACTCAACATATATCGAACATTATCATCTCTAGCAGAAAGTAGTACTCACAAGGAGAACCAAGACCATATATGTATATTTCCAAAGGACCACCTCCTCCATGGTATCCATCGATCATCTGCAACCGAAGGCAAAAGGAAAGTCTTAACCTTTAATTCCAAGTCGTCTCAGCGATTATGCAGAGCGAGGCTCAGTTGCGTAGGCTATATTAATGCAAACTAGTTCCATGCACTTGAACTTGGAGCATGAAGTGTCATCGAAGAGTACAATCAGAGCCCTTTGACCATTCTGTTCACGCCGACTTAAATGGTCCAGACTTCAGACTTCAACATCTAGACTCATTTGCTACTGATCATCCCTGGGCATGATGCGTATCAACTTGAGTGAAAGGATCAGAAGCATACTATAATATATACGTGACCAGCCACCATTGGAACATTGATGAGCATAGATTTTGAGCCACAATAGTCGTCATTCCAGGCGACCAAAGACAGATTCTTCTTCTCAAGCTTTTTGTACTCATACACAGACAAAAGCGAGTCGAACTGAGTAGTTGCGCCACATAACGAGATATTGATAAACTGCGAGCAGGAAGTTGGTTTCTCCACGCTTTAGAAGGACAGCATGAAATTCACGATACATATATTGGCCCAAATTGGCCCTAAGATATTTTTGTACGGGGAAACAGAGCCCCCGTTGTCAACCATCTTGTTTCATCTGCTGTGAGTTGTTTCATTAGCAATCAACGTACAAGGCGAGTTCAATCAACTAAAGAATCAAGAGAAGCTCAAACAAAGGTTGTATACAGGGTATGTAAGACATCAATAAGAAGGTCAGATGACTCACATCGATAACTAGATCTGTTAAGACCGAAAACGACATATGAACACGCGTCTCAACTTAGAAAATAGGGTAGGACAGTGTCTAACTAGCATACCGTATTTGCAGAAGGTGTGTACTGAAACAACAAATCGGGCCCATTGCTATGACACCTTGCATCGAATGATTCATTATAGATATCCTGATATTGGGAAGAATCATCAATGTAGTAAAAAGGTAGTGAAGGTATCACTTTCGGATAATCGACATCCTGGCCGCAGCGGTTAGTTGCTGTCTTTTTACAGACACCTGAAGATCAATATCAGTGATATTCAGTGCATGTAATACGGAGAGACTAAACCGAGAAGAAAGAACGTCAGTGAAGCCCACATTCATACGCAGCTTTTCTAAATAGTTAATGGAGACACATGAAAATTATGTACCAAGACGAATTTCAGCATGCTAAGTTTTTCTCCAGATTAAAAGAGATAGCTCAGTCAAAGCCATGTGCCCCTTATTTCACAGTCCGGAATATCCGACTTAGTGATCGAGGATGAATAGATGTGGTTTTAAATCTCGCACAGTCCGATCACTTAGTGCACAGAAACTAGTTGCATAGCCCGTAGCATCGGCTTCATCTAGCATGATGTACACACTAATGTATTTGACCGCCGGATATTGGGAAAAATGTTTCATTCAGTATGATAATTAGAAGGAAAATGTGGGGGAACGTAATAAATGGCAAAATCTGGAGGTAGTTAGAGTCAGATGTCAAAAACATGAAATATTTATCATAATATACTGCCATACAGCTTACACTCTCTACACAAGCTTAATTGACATTAGACATACCTGTATCTTGAGCAGTTACCCAGCCTTCTGGCGATGCGACGAAACGTGTATCCTTACTATTGAAGATCCATTGTATCGGGGCAGAATGGTCCAAGTAATCTATTGAGAGATTGGAAAGGGGAAGTAAGTATGTGGTCTGAAACAGCTGTGAGTTTTCAGCTTCACGACGCGACGACAGGAGGAATGAGGAACAAGCCAAAAATGTGTATGCGGCAATCACCTGATCAACAAGTACAGAAAGGATGCGTGATTAACTCAGCAGCCCAGCACAAGTCCAGGAACGAGAACTTTACATGTAGCGAAACAATAGGACTGACTGACTGACCAACGCCTTCAGAAGCTCTCAATGCTAGATTCTTGTGAATTCTCGAAGTAATTCCTTCGGCGACTTGGACATATCTTAACAGTACTAAATCAACTTAACTTGACTGCGCACATGAGCAACCTTAGACCAACAGGACTGTTCCAATATTCCTATAAATTACTGTAAAAGATTTCCAAGGAGAACAAATAGCATCCTCTAATCTGCTGGCTATCCCATCGTGCACACTACGTACATGAAGCCAGTAGAAACATATTCGAGGATAAAAACAGAAGAGATCGCAGAAATAAGAGTCAGTCGATGCGTAATGTTCAGAACTTCTAGCAGAGGGAAAAAGGCTGATCCGGGTGAAGAAGGGCAAAAACTGACAATGAAGATATTATCATGAGGCATACTTTTTCTCAGGATTTTTGAAGATTTAGCTCTCTTAAAAAAGAAGCTGACCTGAATTCGGAAGCAGCACAAGATTTATGGTTTTCGAATTTGACCATGTAGCATCTGCCGGGAACAGAAGAAGTTTGGGGGAGAAATATCCTGACAAAGACAACACATACAACTAGTTACAGATTAAAGATACCATCAGCAATATCTATGCCTACTGCGCTAGGATTAAGAGAAGTTAATTTGAGAGGCATCCAAAGAATCTGCTGTTGTAGTCAATTGGGTTTGTCTGAACAATTTCATAACTTACGTACGCATCTCATACATATGATAGAGCTTATGATGTCAGGTGATAAATTCATTTAAGAAGCTCAAGACTGCAATAATATACCTATGGTTGGGTCAACTTCTGGTGTCAAAAATACCGTAGTAGCGGGTTTTATGAGGAGATTAACCACAACTGGGTATGTTGAATTTTCTGAAGCATTATAGAATGAGCGCGGGCTAATTCTGTAGAAAATTTGTTTCGTATTTGTGTTGAGGAGCCTTGTTGTTGTTCCAGGTTTCAAATTGGTTGTAGATACGGCATTGGATTCTGTAGCATCCATAAGACTCTGTCTTATGTCGACAGGATTGGCAAGAGGATTCTGACTAAGATACAGCGCGGCTGCTCCGGCCTGCTAACAGTGCAGGAGCATCAAAACCTTGTATATCACTCCAGTACAGATGAAAATGCAAGTACTGAACTCTAAACTTATAATATAGATGGCAAAGCCAGAAGGTGAATGACGCACCACGTGAGGACATGCCATAGAGGTCCCTGAGAGAGTGGCATAAGATGTATCATTTTGAAAGTATGAGCTGTAGACCAATTCACCCTGAAAATCAAATCCCAAGTACAAGAGAAAGCACGGTTTAGATGTCTCTAAACGTCCGAGTCTGCAGCGTTCAGGCAATTTTCAACTCAGAATCTCTGAAATGCTTACAGTGCCTTCTTATAGGTAAAGGGGCAAGGACACCCGCTAAGCTATGGTTAGGATAGGTACATAAAATCATCAAGTCAGACCAGTCCTCTGGGAGAACGTCATTTGGCCCTTCGAAACTTCAACGTGGATACGAAGCAGAGCATGGAAGGAGCAAACCACACATCTGACCTCACATCTGACCTCCCTATCTACGATGTATTCTCGACCCGTGGCTTTCAAGCAATATTTAGAGGGGAGTCCGTGCCTTGAAACACAAGTTTCTTCAAGTTCTCAACTGGGATCATCCCACTTAAAGCCAAGAAGAGCAAGATGAATACCTCCCTGGTCTAATAACTTACTGGGGCAAACATCGTTGTGCAAGGACCGTAGTTAGAAAACCAGCTCATTTCATTGAGGGAATTTGTGGATCCAACAGTTATAACAGAGGCTGCATGTGCTGGAGAGAAGTTGCAAGCTTCCTGCATAAGGTTTCCGGCTGCAGCAATCTGTCAAAGGACCGATCATCTGCTTAGCAAGATGGTGGCAAGTTCCATCATCTAGAACGGCGACAAAGCAAGATCCTCGATCATAGTGCTAAACCGATTATCCAAAAGCATCAAATAATACTTACACCGATGACCCCAGTTCGGTTGACCATATTGTTGATTGCTTGGTCAATACTGATAGACGCTCGTGTCGATACAGACATCGATAATACAGCTGGACGAATCAGATTCACTGAAACCCAGTCCAGACCAGCGATAAGAGCACCATATGAGCCACTTCCATCGCACCCCATTATACGTACTGGATGCAATAACACGTCTTTTGCGACACCCGTCCTCACACCACCCACAATACCTGCATTTATTGTAGGTCGAAAATTGTCTCAATTGGTTCCGTGAGACAAATGTCACGAATAGTATTTGTAAATTTGCATGGATCTCAATAGCCTGTTTTACAAAGTGATCAACAAACTGATAGAAGTAAAAGCTTTATTTGCTAGTAAGCTGTCCAAATATTATGAAGCCTCTGAGAGTGGAAGTGCATTCGACATAGCCTGCTTACTTCGTGTCTGCTGTAAACAGAAATTTTATACCTGCACAATGTGTACCGTGACCATTACAATCACTGGTGCCGTTTCCATCCTGAATACCATCAAAGCCATCAAGACATCTCGATAGTGGAATGCCTGTTGTCTTATTAAGCCTCCCATCCTGATAGCGAAACTCTTTATGGCTGCATCTTATACCCTATGGAAAGTAAAAGCACTTATCAACACTTTTAGGTTGCTCACTTCAACTTCATCTAAGACTTCTTCGGAAAAAAGTCTTTCTTCTTCATCTCAGAAATGTGTTTGATTGAGGTGCATATACTGTATGGAGTAATCGCTCTTGACATAAAATATTGAGTCCAATTATTCGAGGTTTTGAATTTCTTTGGCTCTGGAGGTTTTCGTTACCGTGTCCAGTACATAAACATGAACGCCAGTTCCACTTGAAGTAGAAGTATAGAGCCCATTCAAGAGACTTTGACCAGCGAAATGATCAATCCGGTCGAGGCCCCAACTGGGAGGATTTCCTTGCACGGTACTCCCGCAGACTCTCAACTTTCCATCAACCTCCACAAAATCGACAGAAGTAGCCTCTTTTGATAGCAGTTGAGACAGATTGCCTCCGTTGATCAAAATGAGCATTCCAAGCCAAACTGTTGTGTACCTGCATACTTAAAAATGACAGAACATTCGCTTTTAGGATTACAAAGGAGCAGTATATTCGGCACAACTTGCCTCCACATAAAAATTGACCAACAAATTTCACTCCATAAGATAAAACTTAATTGTCCACAAAAGTAGCCTCCTTGATTCCGACTGAGTGCTCCTTTCAAAATCTAATGTACACAGCCACACTAACTAAGCCAAACTAAGACACGATGATCATCAGGTAAGCACTAAATATATGTATCCGATGAAAAAAATATAAAGGAGCGTGATGCTTGGGAAAATAATTGCCACTTCAAGAGATTACACGCACAGACATCCAGCAGAAATAGACGCCTTCCTTCCTACAGTCTTCGTGGAAGTAAGAAATGTCATACTTGTAGATGCAGGTGCCTGAATACATATCAGATTTACGCGAAACCGCTCGATCACAAATCGCATTGACAGTACTTGACGTTTCGTTGTCCTTCAATTTGATCAAATACCTGACATAGAAGACATATAAGATTGTATTATTCTAATAAAAATTATTCGGTTTTATCTTCTAGGACATGCGAAACACATGAAAATTCTTATTCTTAGCATCATGTCTTCAATGCGAAGATTCTGCCTTGCTGTTCAATATAAAAGGTGGAAACGCCTGAGACTGTGTGATACGACACAGATATTTGATGCCAGCTGGCGAGCAACATAAGAATTTTGGAATAACAAGAACTCAAATTACTGTGGCAGCTGAACATCTAACTACATAGAAAGCAGAAACTGCTGGAAGCATGTTTCAGAGACATATTTCGCCTAAAGTCAAAGACTCATCGCTTGAGAAAGGAATTGACAAGGCCATTTAGACAGCAAACTAAAAACATATCGAAAGACTCCATGATAGAGGCCCTCCAACAGGAAGTAGAAACATGTCTGTAGGCTGATATCAAACAGTGCAGGCTACTGTACTGGTAAAATGTAATGGGCTGTCCTGAGCCACTTGAGAACGTGCAATAGCGAGTCAGTGGAGCAATATACTGATCTAGCTGAGAACAATGCAGTGCTGCTTCGGTTGGTGCAGAAGTGCTGCAAACTGCACTGTGAATCCATGTCTTCATACAGAGAAGGGGTGTGAGATTATTCAGCGATCAGAATGGCTACCTCGCAGGAATTTTGAAGTTTTGAAGTTGAACCACGCCAGTACCGTTAATGTCGTATATATTGCCACAATTGTATATCTTGACCTGCCCTTTGCCCAGGCTGCATTCCTTATAATGTGGGCGAGTGTGAGCAGAGCCGTCGTCAGCATTCGCCTGCACCACAAAAACTATGAAGAACAACCATTGAACCGCTAGACCAGCGTGGGCGGGGGGTTTCTTCCTCTCCATGTCCACGTTCAATTCGTTCGAGTGATGGCAAAAACTTATCGAATCATAGCGAATTCGCAAGGCTTCATTGTCTCTGCTACCCGAAATTCATAATACGACCTGGAAACAAGTTCTCGAACAACTTGTCTTTGCATCTGCATGCAAAGACGAAAGGAAGAGTACGCCATCGCTCCAAGCAAATAAATACGAATGTCGCTCACATCAAGCTCCGACACGAAATTGAGCAAATAATTCCTTAGGAGAGTGATCGAGAAGCAGTGACAGAGATAGAGAAGGGTTTCGATCTTTGTGCCAGCTGAGGCCGTAAAAGGCTGGGAGTGTGGACACACGACTGACAGCGCAGAAAAGGGTTTGGGTTAACTGCCTCTAAGAAGAACCTCGTGCCCCTTGAAAAAGCACGATAATCAAACACTGGCGGATGACCACTCATCCCTCCGAATGCCCCTCCGTATCCTTGTTGCACCTTCGGAAAATCTTGGTACTTAGCTCACGTCCTTGACAAACGGAAATCTCCAGGAACAAGTTCAGATCACTGATCATCCTCATTCCCGATCCAAGGACCATCATCACTAAACCTCACCTTCCAGAACGTCAGATCCGACTCCCAATATATCCGCATGATCGATTATCAAGCGCATTTTCATACACACCGCAATTGATACCTTGGAATTCGGCTGTTTCACCCCGCCACTTCAAGAGTCTAACCGAAACCCGAACGCTTCTGGATTTCCGATATGTGGGTGAAGATGATTTGCTACGTGACAGCCACCAACCAATGCAGCAAAGCTGAGATTGTGAGATGACATCGAAATCGTGCTTGGGAGATCGTGGCATCAATCTTGGGCATTTCGAATGAAAAATCGTCTTCACATCGGCGGTGTTTTTTTCCAAGGTGTTGGCGTTCTTCTTTCGTTTCGATATTCATTCTGTGAAGACGGATGAGTTACGAAATATCCAGTAAGTGAAGTCGATTACGAATTGCACAGCAGTGGCATGGTTTGGAAGTGCTGACGATCAGAGCAAATTCTTAGAGCAAGTTCGAGCACCGCCACCACTCGCCTGATATTTCGGAGCTCGCCTGTCTTGAGCACCAGCGCAGTATTCAAATTCAGCGCGAGGGATAAAATGGCGGGCCTGAGCTCCATGACTTGGGAAGGCATTTCGCAAGCCACCTTCGCCTCTTTCTCCACTCCTCTTGGAACAGACTGTGCACATATTGTATTATACTAATATAATAACTTATACGATGAATCCATATGCATATGAGGATTCGTGGCGCAATGGTAGCGCGTCTGACTCCAGATCAGAAGGTTGCGTGTTCGATTCACGTCGAGTTCAAAGCTCGGAAACAGTTCCTCGACCTTTTCAGAAAGGTTTTGATCTATTGCCAATACTATTATCCCCCAGTATTTATGGTCGAGTTCAAAGCTCGGAAACAGTTCCTCGCCCTTTTCAGAAAGGTTTTGATCTATTGCCAATACTATTATCCCCCAGTATTTATGGTCGAGTTCAAAGCTCGGAATCTCCTCATCATTCTTTTGAAAAGCTTTTGAACTATCGTCAATACTGTTAACCCTCAGGATTTATGCATGATGGGTGTATGAATCCATCATCTTTTTGCATGCAGTACTTGGTGACTTCATTTGCTACTATTCTCTCTATTCATGTGTGAGGGCAATGAAAAAAAAAATATTTGACTTTGCTTTAATCAAGTGGTTTTTATTTCCCTTTCCTGCAAAAAACCAAGAAGGTTTGTACATTTATTTCCTCTCTTAAGTGATGTATAGAATAAAATATGATGTACCGGAGAACATGTGTAAACTTTTTCAGACTTATTACAAGAATGTGAGAAGTTGTGGGTACTTGACCGGTGTGGTTTACTTCAAGTGTAATACATGAGTATATGATAAATAAACCCAATGCCCTGGTGATCGGGTTTCCCTTGAGAACTAAGTTTTCGTTAGCAAGAATCACGTAAACTTGGTACAGGTGTTATTTACGCCGCATGCAAATTTGAGTTTCAATCTCTTATTCTCCGTTGTAGATTAATTTCAATCTTCGAAGTTTTGCAATCGGAATAATAATTCGGAATCAGAATCATACAAGATTTTATCTCATATGTTTTACAATTCTCCTCCACATTGCTTCTGACTCATTGCATTGCCTCGATATACTATGATTTGCACAATCTTCTTGTTTTCCCTTGAACTGGCTTGTCTTATCTCTCCCTTCAATCACTACTATTGAGAACTTCTTATAATGTCATGGATCAAATTGAACTCATTCCAAAGTCCACAACATACACAATTTTACCATCTTGAATAAAAAGGCCACCCTCATGGAGAATGTTACGTCTCCCCTTCACTTTCGAAGTCAAATTCGCTTTTCTTCTGAGCTACACAATATTATTCATTTGGAACTCTAGAGTGAGAATCAAGGAATTCATGAAAATTAGAATCATAATCTCAATTGCTAACTCTAGACTTGGTACATTGGAAAAAATTCTCATTGTTAAAAAAACCAGATCATGGGGATGATTTCAGACTTCTCAAATATTTCATTCCATGGTAAATTGTATTCTCTTCACTTCAAATCGTGCATTTTGAAGCACTAGAACACATCCATAATACCTCCCATTTACACAGATAAAAAGCATTCTTGTTAAGCTCATGAATCATAGGCTATGATTTGTAAATGACTACCTAATTTCGAAATTGAACGAATATTTCAAATGATGAGAAATACTAAGTTACTTGCATCAAAAATCATTATTAGACAATAACAGTCATACGGTAATATGCAGTCTGATCTACCTGTTACCCAGAATAAATCGTTTAGATCTAAAAAAGAACTTACTACATCTACTTATAGAACGTACAAACAGTTTCACCACTTCGCTATTGAGTGTATTGATGGTATAATCTGAAGTTAGTATGAACAAGAATGTCCATAGAAATGAAAATTTAATGATCGAAAAGTAATAGGTATATATCATATCCCATTCTCGAAAGCAACAACCAGAAACAGTGAGACAGTGGTTTAACAATTTTGAGGGTGCGTAATGACTAGTGATTTGTACCGATTAAACTAGAGTATTATACAGTATAATACATGGCTTCAAAAATCCATCTGTATTTTATTGTATTAAATCGAATTGAATTTTCAAAAGATCCAATAATTTTTTTCAGTTATTACTAATGACAACTCTAGGAACCATCAGTGCTTGATGTCACGGTGAAATTTTGATTGCACACATCGCCATAAACCCTGTTAGGGTTTATGACGATGTGTGTAGAAAGGATATCAGGAATGTAACTCTTTGGCGAAGGCCTGTTCAAGGATAGATTCGCTGCTTTTACAAAGAACTAAACAAATACTCTGTATACTCAGAATATCAGGAGCATGTCACTGAGCTACATCAGTGGACTGGAAATGTGTACAGTGGCTAACGTCTACGTCGGCAGAATCTGTTGTATGGAGAAAGTTGTGCTGTTCTTCTAGCGCCTCTGCCAAGTACTGCAGTGTCCCGAAAGGGTGACTAATTCGGGAGTTTCCGCGGCCTAAGAGCTTGGAGGTTGAAAGAGAGACCAGATTTGACTATCCACTGTGTTTGAAAATGAGGAGAGGGGCAGAGTGGGTAATCCGAATCGGCAATTCGCAATTTTGAGACACGGAGTACGAGAGCAGTTCGAGGGTTCAGTCTGTGTGAGACGTTTGGTGAGCTCGGGAGTTTGAGTTTTCATTTTTCCGTCTCCGAATTGAGGTTGCGATGTTCGTGTTGACGAAGGTGAAACATGAACTGCGGATTGCGCCGCAGAAGCTTTCGTTACCACTGCTGGATGCGATAACGAGCGAAATTCAGAACTTGTTTTTTGACAAGGTTTGAAGCTCTGACTTAGTTCTGTTCGTCTCCACGCCCATTCGAAACTTTGTATATCATGTTATGGGATTGTTCATGTAGAAATGAGTCGCCGGAGATTGGTACTAGCTGAATTCGTCCTCAAAGTTCAAAAATTGCCTGTGATCTTCAGCTATCACTGTCTGACGGTTTGTCATTTAATTGTGGCATGTGATTGTCAAAGCATATTTTATTACCAGGATTCAAAGTCTTGCTGAATTCAGCAATGAGAGCAATAGCAAGTCCGACAGAATGATATGAACAGTTGGGCAATTAGATACTCAGTCTCTTCCATCTATGATATTGGAGGCTAACGCTTGCCATTGTCAACCTTGTTCAATAACAATATGTCATTCAGGTTACAGCTCCTTGAGGATGCCAGTCTAATGCTATATTTCGGACCGTCGTCAGTAATTTGGAGACAGCTCGTTAAAATGAAGTGAATCGCTTGCTGGCTTTTCGCTGTTGTTATTCCAGGTCTTGAAAGATATGGGTCTCTGTATAACGCTGTATGATGTGAGGGCAGTAGAAGGTGGTTTTGTGTTTCCTGGTGACGGAGCTCCTCGCTTTACGGTACTCTTCGATTTTTTTAAGCCTTACATTGTTCTGCTTGATATATTCCACTCTTCGTTAGACTCATGACATTGACGTTATCCGTTTGATGTAATCATTGAATTGCATTTGATGCACATACACTGATCATTGCCAGTTGCTCCCTAGGACAATTACAGGTCGATTTCCAGCTGGTCATGTTCCGGCCTTTCATTGGAGAAGTTTTGACAGGGAAACTGAAAAAATGTGACAAAACTGGACTTTACAGTACGTTCTGAAGCCGAAAACATCTTGTTGTTTGATTGTAAACCTTGGTTTGCTATATGATTTATCATCGTACCTCGTGCGCTTTCAGTGTGGATCAATTAGGAAACTTCAAACTTTAGGAACGATAACAAATTTGTAGGTCATTGAGTCTCTTGACAGGTCAATTAGATTTTGTTTGAATGAAGTAGAGCTCATAAACCCTCTCTCTGATGGTGTGGACGCAACATATATTTCGAAGAACTTAGTCCGGTAGTAGGTCCGCTGACTGCTCATATAATATTGTGAAAAGTATCTCTGCAGTTCTTCGAGGATATTCACATCCCAGAGCACCTTCTCCAGCAACCTTCTGTTTTGTAAGGGCCCCATCCATAAAGACCGATCCAGATCTGTGCATCTTTACATTGTCCTTAAATCGGTGAATTCCATCTGGATTGATTATACAGTTTTTCTGACTGGAGTACTCAATCCATCAACTTCATAAGTCGATGCAAGTTCTGTCAAATTTACTGAAATGAAAGAACTTCCACAGTGATGAAGAGGAGAAGCTCTGGATTTGGAATTTCAACGGGAATGATATGTTCATGGATCTTGATGAGGAGGTAAACTCTTTTTTTGCAATCATGATTAATCACTTTGTGCTCTGAGGAATTGCTATATTGAACGTTCTTAAATATTTCTTCGTTTTGTAGGTCCGGTTTCGGGTTGTGCAAGTGAAATATCCTACCATCCCTATCGAACAAGACAAGGGTGCAAAACCTTTTGCTCCCATGGAGATCACTGTAAGGCACCTTTCTCTGTACCTGATTCACTGCGATTATGAAAAAAATCATGTGTTTTCCTGCAAATGGATCTGTTCTGGAATTGAGAGGAGTATTGAGGATTGATTGGTGTATTTGCCCGAGGACGCAGGGAGACATCAATGCTGATGGACTGGGACTTGTTTCGTGGTGGTGAGAGTCTATTCCGATTGACGCACTCAAGCACAACAGGAAGCAGCGAAACTCGCCCGTGCCCACTGACCCGACCTGGTCGCACCATATGTCAATATGGTGGTCTACATAAGAGGGAGATCACATTCTGAGATGCTTTTCTGGGAGCCTAGTTTACAATTGTTTTATAATTCATTACCGCCTGGGTGTAGAGGAACTCGAGATTTTGGTTAAATAAAATATTTTCTTTTGTATAAAGTAGCCATCGGACTTCTATTTTAATCTCACTTTTTGCAAAGCGCGAGCTTTGCCGTTGTCAGTCAGTTTGACAACCAAGACAAGTATGGTAGTTGGACGTGTATGGGTTGGTTCTTGTTGTCTTGACAAAACATACATCGACGATTCTAGTGGACTGTAGGCGCAAACTTGAAGTGGTCGGGGTGTGGTCGGACGAACAAAGTGTAAATCTCCCACTACAAGTTACACATGATGCACACGGAAAAGCACCGTGCGATTCCCAATTGAAGAAAAACAGCTCACAGATGATCAAATGAAAGTTGGCTCATTCATCCATGTGACAAACTCACGTCACAAGGGCACCAAATTCTTCTTAGTGTGCACAAAACAAAGTTCCCAATATTCTAAAGTTAAACCCTGGCCTTGAAGGGTTTGGTTACCAGATTTAGCACGTCCCAATCACCTCAATTGCTAGGTCTGTGCCCGGTGAAAGGCCTTGCACAGCTGTATCCCTGTTGCCCAGAGTACAGTAAACCATCTGCGTATGATGTAATCAGCACATACTAAAGCTGGCAATCGGTGAGTCTTGTCCGGTATTACAATTACATGGTACTACTGACACTAGCGTGATTTGGAGTGATACGTACATAAATCGGTTCTACATATTGGGTTACCTCTCAAAGATGCTAAAGTCGTCGACACAATGTGGACTTCGACGTAATCGCCTACTTCTAACTTGACCTTCGATTGTTCATCGACGTCCGACGAGTTGTGTTGTGACGTATTTGCGCCATCAGACACCTGACTAGGAGATAGAGAAAGTGCGTCAGGCACTGGGATATTGGGCAAGACAACCTTATGGCCTCTGTCAGTACGGCCAATGACCTCCTCTAGCGGATTCCTCTTGTTTGGTGCTTCTATGAGAACCAGTTGGGTGGTACCCAGCTGGTCCTTGTAATTTTGTCCTGTACTTCCTCTGAAAGTCGTGATAAGCTCAGCAAGTCTGCGCTGCTTCACATCTTCTGGAACATCATCTTCGTAATTCCGATGTGCGTGAGTCTTCTCCCTCATGCTGTAGGCAAACATGTAGGCCATATCGTACCCCACCGTTTCTACCAGACTCAAAGTGTCTTGGTGGTCTTCTTCTGTCTCCCCACAAAATCCTTCACATCCATCAAATCAAAAAGGTGAGGTCACGATAAGAAGCGACGTTGTGGAGGACACACAGCACCAGCGCAAGGTTGACACACACGCGTAATAAGAGAGTTTGCGCTGGACGATAGCGAAACATGCAAAGAATTCAAGTGACACACGGTAAGGAATTAATCCCCATAATCATTCTCGCAATCTGTCTGCAATGCTGAGGCGAAATTTTCCATGCATCTCTGATAGGAACCTGGTGTATCTCTACATAGAGGGATGTTAAAGACAGCTTACCAGTTATGAAGTCACTGCTGATGCTCGCTTCTGGTAAGATAGTGCGGATCCTGTCAACCAACTCCAAATACGCCTCCCTTGTGTATCCTCTGCGCATTCTTTCGAGTACAGCAGAGCTTCCACTTTGAGCTGGCAGATGAATGGCCTTGCATATGTTCGGGCGGTCCTTCATGAGGTAGAGTAGCTCCTCCGGAAAATGCTTTGGGTGGGGAGATGTGAAGCGAAAACGCATTTGGGGATAAATGGTAGATAGACAGTCTAGCAGATGTGCAAAGGTCAACCCAACCTCCTTCACATTGGAAATACTCGTGAATCCGGGGCTCAGCAAATTGGCTGATGTCTGTTGAGCTGCTTCACGGGCATTTTGTTCTATCCACGCTCCATCATAACCTTCCACAACATTCCCAGAAATATCGTTGTAGCTGTTCACATTCTGCCCTAGAAGAACTACTTCTTTCACTCCCTGCTCCCATAATTCCCCAACCTCCCTAACGATCGAATCCACGGGCCGTGACCTTTCTCTTCCCCTGGTGAAGGGGACAATGCAGAAAGAGCACATATTGTTGCAGCCACGCATGATGGAAACGTAAGCAGAGACCTGACTCGAAGACAACCTCACTGGTGAAACATCTGCATAAGTCTCCTCGAGTGACAACATTGTATTGATACCTGTTTGACCTTCATCGACCAACGACAGAAGCCGAGGAAGGTCGCGGTATGCATCTGGCCCACAGACCACGTCTACCATCTTTTCGGACTCGAGAAGCTTAACTTTCAGCCTCTCAGCCATGCAACCAAGAACGGCAACTTTAGGTGGGTACCTCGACCGAGAGGGAGAACTAACCACATTCCGATTCCAGTGCCTTTTCATGTGCCGGAACACATTCAATCTCTGCCAAACCTTGTGTTCGGCATTTTCCCGAATTGCACAAGTGTTGATAAAAATGATATCTGCCTGCTCGGGCTCATACACAATTTCATTGTAACCAGCATCCTTCATGATGGCCAGCACAATTTCCATATCGTTCACGTTCATCTGACAACCGTACGTCTCCACGTACATTCGACCATTCTTTACCGCCTTCTCGGCGTCTTCTGCAAGATATGGCACTGAGGTAGGCCTGCAGCATGAGAGAGGACATTATGATATATCGAAACTTCGTCGACACCAAGAATCTCTGGACCATCCATGTGACTCCACAATTGTGGGTATTGTATTACAAATCTGCAACTATCTCTAAACCCTGTTCGAATCGAAGCAATCCAAATTTTAATTGCGCATAATATATATACAGAATCCCGTCTTTAGGCTTAAATCACGTAGCCTACAAACCTGCCAACTAGCTACTTCGAGCACAAGCTTCAAACCAGAAATTCAGGAAATCAGGAATTAACCAAATATAATTGAACATTGTTGCCAACTGAGGACAATGCTGAAAATTCAAAAATCTACGAATCACTCGCATTCTTACGCAACAGTAGCTGCTGTATTTACTCACTCTGAGTTCACAAGAGCTGGGGATGGGCCCTGCCCTAAAAAATCCTGGAAGATAGATCCCTCTCGCACAACCTTGCCATTTTTGAAACTCCAGTCTCCGGGCTTAATTGAAGCAGGAGCGGGAGTAGGAGTTGCGCTTTCGGTGGAGGATGAGGCTTGAGAAGAAAGATGCGCAATGCAAACACGGCCAGTCGAGACAGTCACCGCACTGGGCCTCAAGCATCGAGACAACGACGTTCCAACCAGGGTCGAATTGCTAAACCCGAGCCCTCCCACAACTTGGCTCTGGATAGATTGAGCCATGGCAATCGTGGCAGGCCGAACGCGGATCTGACTCCAAAATTCCACCGAAGAAGCGACCCTCCTGGAAGAAATCAACAAACGGCAAGGACCAGAGGACTGAGCCACCGAGGAGAACTTCAGAGGCATGGACAGCATTCTCGCTCTCAGGTGTCAATGGCAGCTGAGAAATTCCCGACCAACATGATTCGAACGGCCCGAACAACTCAGAACCAGCAACCGAATCTCTCGTGCTTCATCTGCTGCGCAGCAGCTCAGCTCAGCTCGTCTGCGAATTTCGCTGCGGCCCACTGACAACCATGTCGGTCGTTGTCGTGGTCGCGGATGAAGAAGATTGCGAGGGTGCGGGTGGTACACACTTGGGCGGATTTTGTCCATCCAACCGCGCCCATTGCCGGCTGGCCGGGCCTTCAGCTGGCATCACCCTTGCCGGATCATTCCCGACGGGACGGGCCCCACGGAAGTTCTGGTTCTCCTCGGCTCCCGACGTGAGAATCTTGTACGAATCTCGCAACCACGTCGAAGTTGATTCTCATACGCCGTGATCCGGATATGACACGCCGTAGTAGCATTGAGCTCAGTACAGTACTGTAACACTGATGATGTCGCCTCGTTGGTCACCTTGGAGTGTTGTCGTATATACCTCGAATACTGGGCTTAGCCTAGTCATTGGATTTTATTTTATTTTTTCTGAACCCTTTAACGGTTCTACTCATGATAATGTGAATGTATTTTCGAATGAATATGAGCTTTGTAATGAACGTAACCAGTGTTGTTTCAATGTACCAAGATTTCTAATATAGTGAGAAAATATATCCTTTCAGTTAGCAACCCGCAATTTGACTCGATGCATGATCTTCTGATCGAGACATGGCATGCAAAAGGTCTACGATTATTTTGGACGGTATATCTGTAATTGATGTTTCCTACTAGTGCTGTTGCGTACACAATTGCACCCGCAGTGATCTATGGATTTTTGAGCATAGTCACCCTCTGCACCAATTGCTGGAAGAGAAGGCGGGGTTCGCAGTCACCGCCAAACAGGCTCTCGAAGATTCATTCTGAAGATTCTATTACTGACACCACGAGTTTCAAGACAGTTTATTCACACTATACATTATTGGCAAGGATTCCAAGTGGTCCTTTTTGATTACACGCAGATAATGTTTTCTATTTCCCTGACGTGCCTCGCAACTTCATTTGAATTCGAAAGTGCATCCCGTACCTCTCAATCTGATCTCTTTTCGTGACTTCTCGTCTAGCATTCCAATAATTGTATCCTTCAGAGTTGGAATCCTTGCATTAGCTACATAACACGTACAACTAGGGATTAATTTGCAATGAAAGAAGTCAATATTTCACTACTGATTAGATACTTTAAAAGCTGTGCACATATGTATATAGACCTTGTGGACCGACATACCTTTCCTTCTCCACAAGTGTTATCGCGTTGTTCTTGCAGGAACAACGCATTTGCATTCTCTCATTTGTGAGCAAAGTAAACTTTGATCAGTTTGTTTATAGTTTTGATCGCTTGAAGGTTTTCAAATTTTTGTATTAGTTTCAGGGTGCATTTAGGACAACTAGGGTAATTTACACTTACATTTCATCCTCCTGTATTTATTGCTCTCGGCGGGACTTTACATAGTTTTGGTCATATGCTGGTTTATCGCACCCTCTCTGCATTTGATTCATGATTCGTACTAAGAACTCTTAAGAAAGCATTTTTGCAAAGAAAAGGTTGTCATAATTTTTAAAAAAAACTTTCATAAGCTATACATGAACATAAATTTCAAGCATAGTCTGGAACATCGATTTATTTTTCTTTTTTTATTGCAATACATTGCAAAGGAGATTTGTCTTTATCATTCAAAAACCTTATGACAAGTAGTTTGGCTAAAATATAATTTGATAAAATCGTTTCACCATTACTCTAAAACGGCTAGTACTAGGTATAGGATATATATATATATATATATATATATATATAATCTAATATGATTTCACACACATTGCGACTAATTAGCTTATTTTTTCATTGAAAACCTATGGTAAAGGGTAGTGGACGATTATGAGATTAGCAGTGGACAACTTAAATTTTGAGGTAGGATTTCAATATATGAAAAAACAAGTTTCCGGGAAGCAGAAAAGAATTCCAATATTTTTTATCGCACATACACTTCGAACTGCAAGATGACTATGAGTTATTATGATCAGTACATGTATGGCAGAAACTCGAAACCCATGGGTAGAATGAGAGTGTACGGTGGAGAGAGTTGCGCTTTCAATAATCTTAGACAAACGCAAGCCTATTCAGAAGATTGCCCAGTAGACTTTGATTGGTGAGGTGAAATCCAGAAGCTGAAGAGCTTGAACTTTTCGATGGCTCTAGGTTTTAGGCTCTAGGCTCTTCGATGCAGGTTTAAGGAAGGTGCGTCGCTAGCTCTAGCCGAAGAAAGCAATAAAATCTTCCGAAAGCAACTCGAACAACAAAATATAAATTAAATACACAACATGGCTCCAAGAAATATATATAGTGAATTGGTAAAATACGCCCCATATGAGCCCGAAATTTTGTCTTTTGTACAGTTCCATCAAGCCACACAGCATAGCATAGCGGGGGATATGCAGCAGAAAGAACTAAAATCGACCGAAAGCAACTGGAACAACAAAATATAAACACACAACCTGGCTCCAAGAAGTATATATAGAGAAATGGTAAAATACGCCATAAGACGACGAAATTTCGTCTTTTGTACAGTTCCATCAAGCGTATGATTCTAGCGAAGCAGGGGCACGACCTTCGCCGCATACGAATACGTAAAGGCTGGGAGGCCCCCTCTAATACGCGAAGGCTTAATAAATACGGGAATCAAAGCCGACAAACGAAACGTGGAGGCGAGCATATATTGTGCGCGATGTTCTTGACATTCATCATTCGGGCTCGAACATAATGCGCGCCCGCGTACACGTTGTCACATGCTCAGGCGCGGCTGCACTGTTGAGTTCGAAGAGGCCCGGGCGCCCGGACGACGTCGCTCCTTCCTTCTGATCCGAGCCATCGATCGATCGATCGAGTCTGCTGCCCTCGCTCCTCGCTCGTGACCCGCAGCGCTCCGTGCCATTTGGATCCCGAGACCTTCTCCTTTCTCGCTTTCTCTTTCTCCCTCTCTCTCCCATTCTCTCTCTCGCTGTCTTACTCTCTCTCTCGGGGAGGTGGGTCTACATCTTTCTCGCACTCATCAGAGCTCAGATTTCAAGCACCTGCCACCTCCGGCCGGGCTGGGGAGGGAGGGAGGGAGAGATTTCATAGTTCCGAATCGGCCAGCCTAGTTTTTCCCCGCGAGTGGAAAGGTTCGTCGTCGTCTTTTGGATGCGCATGCGCGAGAAATTTTAACTCTCCCGAGTGCTTGCGCGGCTGTCTTTGTGTTCCACTTCAGCGGGAGATTGAATGTCTTGTAGTTTTGGGTCGATACGTGATGTCACCTGGAGATCCCGTTAGATGCTTACATTCCTTCTCTTCTATTTCCATCGGTGATAGATCTTCCGCATGATACTAATCTTTCCTTGTTTCTTGTCACGAGCCTGACGTGCGCAAGCGCATGCATATATTCGTATTCCCACATTCGTGTTAGAGAAACTGCTTGGAGTTCGAGATCCGGTCGACTAGATCTAGAATTTCAGGCGATGACGGTCTTCATGAATTCGTGAGCTAGGATATGCATCATCTCTCAGGTTTTTGCTTGTGTGGGTCCTTGCTGCTCGCGTCGAGAAGCACGTAGCTCTTGAAATTGGAACGTTGTGGGCTGGCGAGTTATGCACCTATCGTATTGCTACTTGTTCTACATTTGGACTTCCTGTACATTTTCAAATGCGGAGCAGAGTGAACGGCGATGACAGCAGTCATTGTTTAGGTGACACCGGAGCATTCTAGAGGCGGTGTATTTGAGATGCAAGCGAGATTTTGCGCGTCCTTATTTTCTCCGTGTCTTACCATCCTGTCTCAGGTCAAGGTGGAATTGCTCACCACTTCCGATTGTCGGTCGATCGTCGCAGTTAGGCTGGACACCTCAGACTTTCATCCGAACTGAAGGCATGGCTACAAGCTGGAAAACATATTCAGGCACCGCCTGTTTCAGCCAGGTCCATAATAAAGGCTACACTCCAGGCCTCAGTTTGATTGAAAAAATCATTCCACGGAGAGGAAATTTCCGCTTCTCCGTGTAGAGCGAAATAATTGCTTCGATTTGGTTTCCTCGGTTTTCTTCTCTATATCAGCTTTTTTATCTGGATATGAGAAGAGAAGTCCTCACAATGTCTCAGTTTGGAGTCGCGACTGTAGACCTCGCGCTTTGGAGTGTGTTTGTTGTAAATCAAAGTTCTAGTATGGATCTTCTTGGTTGATCTGTAACAGACAAATGCCTGCAAATTCTGCAGCTTATGAAAGTGCTGATGTATTTGTCCTAAATAAGTCCTATTGTCACCTGAACTTGACTTTCAATTTTAGAATCACAGTGTGCATGTCGACCAAACTTGTCTCATCAAGCTTAATTGCCACGATCGTGCAGGATTTGAAAGCTCAGCACGTAAGGAAAGCCACGGCTACCAGGATGTACTGCACTGCCATAAGATCTTCGCCATCGTTGACGTTTCGCCATTCCTTCTCAGTTTTAAATGCCGGGCCACGCAAACTGTCCCTGAGAATTCCAAGAAGAGTGAGTTGGTTAACTTATATCTCATTCTGTGTGCGCTATTTATGAGTTGATATTTCACAACAAGCGGCATGTAATTTTGACTGGTTAAATATCCTCCACGACCTCAGTGCGTAGTGATCTTCTGTTTATATCATCTTGATGACTCTCCCAATTCGTGATTCAGAGCAACCTTCGAAAATTGGCAAATGACCTCATAGTAAGAGCTGTTTCTGCACAGCCAAATGCGACATTTCAGACGCTTCCCGGTTTTACTCAACTCGCAGACACCGTAAGTTTCCGCCTTACTCTGAATCTACTCATGACATCGCAAGGAAATTTCCTTCGCAATTTCGTTGATTTCGAAGCTCTCCTTTCTTAACTGCGAAAGTTATGTACATATGGAACCTGCCCACCTTATTGTCCATTATTCGTAACAATCAACTGATAAGTATCACCAGATTCCAATTTGGCAAGTTGTAATAGAAATCTTGTCATCCGAGGCTAAAGAACTTTTTCTTTACCTCCCAAATTGTGAACGAATACCATTTTTTCATACGAAATTATCATGAAATATATCTTTCATTGCTGACGGGTTGTTTACTTGTGGTTATAGGCTATACCGGAAACATTGACATTGCCGGAGATTGTGAAGACTTTACCTCCAGAGGTAAGCGTTCCACATATGCGTTCAATTGTGTAAGAAAATTCAAATTTGTAGATTTTAAGGCTGGATGCCCAGTAAAACATCCTCGCCGCTCGATGTGTGATATAGTTTGAGTAATTGCATTAGTGTCACTTTTCACATCAAGAAATTACTGCTCATTCCGGAATGTTCTAGCAAATTAGAAGTGCTTTCTCATGTGTTCTTTAGAGAAATTTTCATGATAAGATTTCAAATGTGTTCGTGATTATAGTTGCTAGACTTGGGTGAAACATGAAGGGCACCACCAACACGTTTTCGCGTACTTTCTGTTGCGCTTCACTGTTCCATTGTTTTCCCGGTACAGAACTTCTCATCCGATGTCCATGCCTTTGACTGCAGGTGTTCGAAATAGATGATTTGAAAGCGTGGAAGACTGTAGTCATAACTGTGACAGCAGTGGCCGCGGGATACGCCGCTTTGGCAGTGTCACCTTGGTACCTGTACCCAATTGTCTATGCCTATTTGGGAACAGCTGTCACCGGAATGTTTGTAGTTGCTCACGACTGTGGTCATTCTTCATTTTCGAACAACAAGACGGTGAACGATGTTGTCGGAACCATTATGATGATGCCGCTCATCTACCCCTTCGAGCCATGGAGAATCAAGCACAACACCCATCACGCACACACGAACAAGTGAGTACCGACACGAGGCTTGCACTATTCTCCCTCGTTTCAAAATTAATGTTCGCACTGTTCAAGTAGAACTGACGCTATATCAGTTGAATGTTTTCCAGTCCTGCACATAAATGTACAGAGGTGATGAGCGCATTATAGAATGTAAATTGTATTTTATGCTCTGCCACAAGAGGGGTACAATCGAACCGAACTAAATAATTGGACACTGATCTACAGATTGATCATGGACACAGCGTGGCAACCGTTTCGTCCACATCAATATGACAGGTCGCCACCATCCGCCAAGGCTCTGATGGAGGCCATGATGGGCCCATTCTGGTGGGCTGCTTCTGTGGGCCACTGGCTGTTGTGGCATTTTGATCTGAACAAATTCCGTCCCCAAGAGAGAGCTAAGGTGAAGGTACGTGTGTGGTATCGCACTGGGACGACTCAAGATACAGAAGCTCCAGAATCTCCTCGTGATTGCATCTAATCAATAAAGCAGTGAGCGGAGAAGACGAAGTTATTGAATTGAGTTTCATAACGCATTATTGAAGATAGATTTTTTGGATCATGTGGAAGGTATTCGAGTGATATAATTTTAGCTTCCGCTCCTGTTTCAGGTGAGTTTGATTGCTGTTGGAGCTTTCGTGGTTGGTGTGCTGGTACCACTTCTTGTGACTCAAGGCCCTGTTGGCTTTGTGAAATGGTGGCTACTTCCTTGGTTGGGATTTCATTTCTGGATGAGCACTTTCACAATGGTCCATCACACCGCCCCTCATATTCCGTTCAAAGGAGGTCGCGAATGGAATGCAGCTGAGGCGCAGCTTACCGGAACAGTTCACTGTGAATATCCAGCTTGGTACGTATTTATAAAGATGCACAGCTAATATATTTGATGCATGTCATAACTTACCGGCAGATCTCATAGATTCAACTAAGCTCCTCTGTTCCGATCCATACGGGGTAATGTAATGCCTGGAGTTCGTCAGTCAAGCACTTGTTATGAGCCTCATCGCGCTCATTCCCCACCTTCGCTTTCCTACTTTCTTATCTATCTTCCCTTTTCATCTTTCTTTTTCGTCAACAAGAAAGATCAAAGACTTTGTTCCAATTTTGAGGTTATTCCATGTTCGTTTCTGTAATGTTCTGGGTAGGTAGAATAATCTCCGAGTTTTTGCATGAGAATCTATGAGCTTTTGCTTTCGGCACTTCTCCCCATGATAGGTCTCTCAATTGGTCACGTAACTCTTCTGAGTTGTCATGGATCACGTAATGACTCTCTGTCCGTTACTCCGATTTTGCAGGGTGGAGTTTCTGTGTCACGATATCAGTGTGCACATTCCACATCATATTTCCTCGCGGATTCCTAGTTACAATCTGCGAAAGGCTTATGATTCGATCCGAGAGAACTACGATAAGCACTTGAACAAAGCAGTTTTCGGTCCCGATCTTATTTCCACGATTATCTTCAACTGTCAGTTATTTGATGCGAAAGACAAGAAGTGGCTGAAGTTCGACAAGAGGTCACGCGAGAAGTCTACCTCAGAATCCGAAAATTCCACAAACTAGTCCACAGAACGACCAACCCACCCAATTCACTGTTCGCGGCTAGATGAGTAGCGTCATTGAAACCTCGAGTTCATGAGTTTTTCCTCAGGACGGACAAGAACGAGGTCACATGGCTTGAAACCATATTTCTAATGTGTACATTTCAAACATGACCATCAACTGATGCTTGATGGAATTCGGATCTTATGACATGTCGACTACTGAAACACATGCGCTTTTGTTTCGCATTTCGTGTATTTGCCAAAAAACTACATACTCGGCAAGCTGAAACCTTTTTAAGAAATCTCACCGGCCGCTGGTGTACATGGTGAACCAATTCGGCCAAAATAGGCCGTCGACTCAACAAGACTGAAGCTTTACTCGATCGAAAGCAGTTGTGTGACAGAGATGGACTTCTGTTTGCTTTTGCAGAGTTCCCGCCTCGTCAAGTTGGGACCGTCATCAATGTACTTCCGACAGTAGATGTGTACGGAACGTACTGTGTATGACAAGGCGAGCTTCACAGAGGCACGTGTTTAAAAATTCAGGTGCACATCTGATTGCAGTACGTCCTCGGGCAGAACATCACCTCAAATTCAACTCGACGGGTCGAAAGAAGGCCAACTACTGTGCCTGCCACCGCCAAATATCTTCCGTCTCATTTTCTTGGCCCGCTGCTTTTCCCACCATGTCTGGTTTATTACTCTCTCGTGAATGCCAACGAGGCGTTGCTCGACATGAGAAACACTTTTGCCATTAAAACCCAAGAAATCGAACGCTTCCGAAGAGATTCCTCTGCCCCGTTCTCCCAGTGGTTAAAAACTCTGCGCTCGCCAGTGGAAACCAGATTCCTCAGGACTGCGCCATGCGAATTGGCTCCACGATGAGTTCCGTAAAGCTCATCTAGCCATCGACTTTTGACATCAGCCGCAGCAAGGAAGGTCTCGATGCAACCTCAGGCACTCTTCAAGGATCGGCGCATCTTAGAACCGACCGACGTCCGGCACCCGTCACAAGTTCGCAGGCCCCATTCGGAATGAGGTGGGTGGAGTCCGGAATCCGACATGCGAAAAGCATCGTTTCCCACAACTGTTCCCTCACGCTCGTCAGTCACTGCCGTTCTGGAATCTTGTCATGGAATATTCTTCCCGCTATCAAGGAAAGCCCGTCTTTGGACAGTTGTGCCTTTTGAATGCATTGCAGGCTGCCTGTTGCTCGGAGGGGGTTCGAATCGCAATGGCCGGCAGATGATCTTCTGGTCCGAGGGGGGAGACCGTGCGCCTTTCGTGCTGACCGGGCGGTTCTCGTGCTCGTTTAACACACGGACGCTTCTGATCATACAGTGTCCAAGTTCGTATTTTTTTAAATTTTGTGGGGAAAACAATTTAATGTGAATTTAATATTTGCTGTAATTTTCGGACACTTTTCGGAAATTAAGAAATAATGTGAAGGTCGATATGGCGCCGATGAACGTTGTCGGACTCACGAGGAAGGATGACTAGAGCATGGCTCGAACGAGCCACAGTTTGCCGGCAGCACGATTCTCTCGAGAGACTTTGGGACTCGTGACCCCAAGTCGTCGGGATTGCCAAAAGACCATTGCTCTTCTTCTCCTTCCATTCCTCGCCTCCGCCTTTGTGTCCCCGTGGAGAGCGGGTCATCTCAATGCGGTCGGAAAAGCCGACACCGGAATTGGGGATTCTTGGGAGGAGGAGCTGGAGCTGAATTTCATCTCGGATCGATCGTTGCAGTGGAGTGAGACGAGAGTCCATCTCTCCGGGGGTTTGGGATTCTTCACGGAGAGGGGCGTCTTGAATTGTTCATCAAGGCTGGGTGCAAGGAAGCATGGGTAGCTGTAGGACGGGAAGAAGGAGGAGGAGGAGGAGGTCGCCATGAAGGAGCAACATTGTTGGCCGCGCTCCCGTAGGAGAAGGTAGGGATTGATTGTGGAAATCCGATCGATTGCAGAATGCCCATATACGCCCACTTCGACAGCGATTCGGAGTCGGGGGCGGGGTTGGATTTGGAACTCGGAGTGCAGAGGAGGCCGAGGAGAAGAAAATCATTCTCGTTTAGCAGCTGGGCGCGAAAGATGTTTCAGTCCGTGTCTCGCCAGCTCCAAATGCACTACAAGCTGCGACCTTTCTTCATACTCTGTTTATCATTGGCGTTCGTCTGTGGGTTGTTGTTTCTCGTCGTATTCTATGACAACTTCGACGGGTATCATTTCTCCAGAGATTACGAGTTAGAGCCTCGGAACGACGGTACTCTTGCCTTTAGAAATCTTCGCAATCTGGTCATGGTAGCCGGGCATGCCGTGTACACCAGTTCCAGTTGTTCGAAAGCAGAGGGCGAGGATTCTTGGTTCCTCGAATCTTACCAAAAGCATCCTGGCCAGGCTTCCACTTTTGTCGAGCACATCAAAACCGGTGTGGAGGTTGCTGCCCAGGATGAGCATTCTCTGCTCTTGTTTAGTGGGGGAGAAACACGCAAGGAGGCCGGCCCTAGAAGCGAAGCCCAGAGTTACTGGCTTGTTGCCGAGAGCAAGGATTGGTTTGGTATGTTCCTCAATATCATTGTGCCACCTAAAAATTGTATGCCAGCACACATTTTCTGGTCGATGTATTTTCACCTTTCAGTTCTAATTTGTCACTGGAAAGCTGGAATCGCAATTCTTGTGGTAAATTGAGGTGGCCTGACACCCTACTTACTTGTCACAACATTTTTTCCCCCCTTGAATATTTACCCACTGTTTTCTAGGGAATTCATGAGGTCCGATCAGTGACAAACATTGTGCTTTTGTGTATCGACATTTAAATCCATCTACTTGATCCGTGATAGGTAAGAGAGAAGATGTCCGTGACAGATCCTTGACAGAGGAGCACGCCAGAGACAGCTTTGAAAATCTGCTGTTTAGTGTCTGCAGATTCAGGGAGATCACTGGCACATATCCAATCAATATCACGGTATGTTGAAGTCCTTTGCAGACCATATGTTTTTGAATGTCTCATCATCTTGCACCTTGTTTACTGCAAACGAAACTGACATGTTGACTCAGAAGAGCAGCCGTCACATTATACCTGACTTAGGAATTCAGTTAAACTGTTGTATCTATGTGAATGATTACTCAGAACGCTTACCTGGAACGGGTTTGAATTGCAGGTGGTTAGTTATGATTTCAAAGAATACAGATTTGCCAACCTTCATAGATCTGCTCTACAGTTTCCTGCTTCGCGTTTCTTTTTCAAGGGAACACCGTCTGCTCCTTCTTCTATTCTTGCAGCGCAGCAAGGTGAGTTGCGAGTGCAGGGAAACTTCGAGAGAGATCCATATGGATGTGAGGGGTCTTTACGCATGAAGCGCTTGACTCGAGACCCTTTCCTACGGACTGTCCCATATCCTGCTGGTTGCCCAGAGTTGAAAGGTTTGTTTTCCTATTGTGGAACCCAACCCTACTCCCGAAGATTGCCTTGGCATAATTAGCTACAGTTAGTTCTGTATCCTCACACTCTGACTACCATGAACAGAGAATTAGATCATTTTTATCATGTGCAGATATAAGCACAAGCTCCATGTTTAGGAAATAGACTGGGATATACTCTGTAGTGATCGATCAACCCCAGAATCTCACCATTCTTTCCGGATGAAGTCTTGCATAATTGTCACATCGATCGCCAGCTTAGCCAAGCCAAGCTGATAAGGCATGCTTGTAGCACAGTGTAGCTCTTGCTCAACTTGCAATGAGCCTCCACTGCAAGTTGAGCAAGATTGATGTAAGACATTTTTATGAGGAGTGAGAAATCCTCGACTAGTTTCTCGAAGCTTCATATGTTCTCTCGTAGGAGCGCACCGGCAGTTGGTGAAAGCTGGTCGCAACTAACACTGGAGGATGTTAGTATTTGCTTCCTATGCATATGCACTTTCTTCTGCTGGCAAATTGAAGACAAGTAAGAATGACCAACAGGAAAAGTCTGATATACCTTGTGGGATGCGGATTTGAAAATTTTGCCGGATCGCTCTACATTTGTTGCATGTGGAAGTTGAGATTGCATCGATGATGCAACTTTAAATTTTAGGAAAAATATATCATTCATCCGTTCCTTGTCAATCCTTCTTGGTGTGATTTCAGTTTCTTAGACCACCATGTCCGGCAGCTGATTGTCATACTACAGATAAACGAACAGGATTCTACAACTGTTATGTCAACTCCCATCCCGTAATGTTTAAAGTCAGTGGATGGGAATCAAACTTAAAAAATCCATCTTACTTGAGGCACTTATGTGAGCGCACTAAACGCACCAGGAGGGATCTTATCAACGTTATTGAGACATCTGCAGATTTAAGATGCCCGAATCCTGAGAATTTCATGGGTTGATGTGCCATATTACGAAGCTGCCACAATAATCCTTGGTTTTGTTTTCTCGAAAGGCCATTTTCAACTGAAGTCATATGTCCACAGTACCAAATACCCAAGTCCGAAATACCGTTGTCCTATTATTGTCCTGTGGTATCTTTTACGCTGCAGAATACATTCATTCCAATTTCCTAAACCCTGACAAATTCAAGCCATCGATTCCTCTTATTCGGGTGGAGCAAAGACCCTGAAATATTACGAAAATTTAATGAAATCGGTTGTCTTCCCCAATTTCCAATTTTTGGGAAGACGTCATGGCTGGCTTTCGGAAGTGGCAATGTAAGGGTGCGTTATCCCAAGCCCATTTTCACGGAGTTGTTCAGTCTAGAAATGAACACTTTCATTTTCATTTTTCAGAAGAAACCCTTAAACTGAAGGGACGAGGGCACAGAAATGAAGAACTTTTTCCAAACTTTGCCTAGATGTCCATCGATTTGGTAGTCATTGAGAAAAGCCCTGGAGAGTACTTGTGTGCAGAAGAAGCCAAGGTAAAACAACCAGTCGGAAAAAAATGAACAGTAGGCGGTTTTTTCAAGGATATGGGGTTGGCAATTATTTTTCTGCTTCAAGCCAACTGTAATATGAACTGAGTAATAGTGCATAGAAATAAAAGTAATGAAATCATTGCGTAGAATTGTTATAAAAGCATACTAGAACGTTTATGGGATTATATGTATCGTGTTGGAGCAGTATTTGTTATTTCTTGGGAGTTTGTCATGGATTCAAATGAAGTATTGTAATTTACGTAAACTAACAATGACTTGACTCTGAGTAACTTTCACTATTGCCATTAACAATGCAAAGATTTGCTACTTGGAATGTTAGTGAGAAATTTCAGTTATCCTCTTTCAGATCAATGGTATTTAGGAAATTAAATTATGTCATCCATATTTCGGAATAACAACATTCATCTTACAACTTAAATCTTTGAAAATCCTGAGTTATAAATGTTTACAAGATCTTACACGGAGCAAAGATCACTATAGTTGAATGGAAATCAAATTTTTTTCCTAAGATATTTAAGCTTTTTCTACTCAACGACACATGCTTTATCATGTATCGAATAACTTAATGCACGACAATGTATCCTGACAGTTTTTTTTGTAATGAAAATCAACCAAATCATTTGGAAAAGTATCTTAAAGAACTATTTGGCAATTTCCATATTCTATCAAGTATCCTCACCATATCTTCACTCCTCATAAACCTTTGCATTCCATGAAACCAAACCTGGAGCATGGGCCAGGCCCAGGAGCATCACAAGGGCAAAAGCGTGATGAACACGATACTAAGAAAAAGTCTTGGTGAAGATATGACACTGTCAGTGTACACTTTAGGAAAAGGTAGTGTATGATGAAAATGTTAGAGAAGATTAAAGAAAAAAAATTAGCGTAGTATTTTATTATTTAAAAATTAATGAATTAATGCAAAAACTCGGTATTTAGGCTTCCAAATTTCTTGATAAAAAAGATGTCAGAGAGGTGTACTTTTCGCTTTGTGCTGAGAGGACCTCGCATAGGAGGAATGTGCAGCCAAGCACAATCGACCAAGATCACCAGAGCGCTGCGAAGCCGGGAATTGGCGAGTTGCAACTGGAGTCCAGATCCAACAGCCCTCTCTCTCTCTCTCTGTCTTCCATGTCACTACTCCCCCATTTACGATTCCGGGGAATGTAAGCAGCAGGCTAATTAGGGTTGGCGACAGAGTCTGACCGACACCGACATCGACATCGCGATGTTTTGATCGGTGGAGCCAAGTCAGAGACGCAGCAGTGCCTAGATCCGTGGGCAGTTTGGAACATTGCCAGTGGTGTGTGCGAAGAATTCGTTGATCGGCGTGAGAGACGGGGTTTGGAGAGGAAGGACGACGAATTGGATAGAAGAGCTTGGGAATTGGGCTTCAGCGAGGGGAAGACATGGTCGCGGAAACGAAGACCGCGAAAATGCAGATGGTGTGGAAGCAACCGAAGAAACGGACGCGTCCGCTGGTCTTGAACCCTCTTCAATTTCAAGCTGCGGTTGAGAACGATGCGCGTTCCGAGAGGGGCGGTGGAGCTTCCGGTGGAAGGGTATCGGCAGAGTTTGGTGAATTGAGTGTGATGGATGCTGTGGAGAAAGAGGAGCATGCGAACAGTAAGTTGTCTGAGCAATTGTTGGGTGAAGGAAATGCCTTGGCAGAGGAAGGTAAATTCGGAGAGGCCTTGGGGAAGTGGGAAACAGCCATATTTCTCACTCCGCAGAAAGCTCTGCTTCACGAGCAGAAGGCACAAGTTCTGCTGGAAATTGGCAAAACTTGGAGCGCGGTTCAAGCTGCAACGAGCGCTACACAGTTGCAGCCCACTTGGATCGACGCGTGGGTGACTCTTGCTCGAGCTCAGCTCAATTATGGAGAGCCTTATCTTGCTGTCGAGAGTGCACGCACTGCCCTGAAGCTCGATCCTTCTCACAAGGATGCCAATACCGAACTTGAAAGAGCACAGTTTCTTGCTGTCAGACAACGCCAGGCTGCAAGAGAGTCGGCTGCCTTGAATGTGGATGCAGAAGCCATTTTACCTGACGGGCAAAATAGATTGCCTTCTTGTCGACGAGCAAAGGTCTACGACTCTCAAGATATAGGTTTTGGTGAAGAGCATCATCAGGTTGCACACAAAGAGGCCAAAATTGAGAAAGAGGATACAAATGAAGAGAAACTATTTGATAAGTACGATGATGATGATTATGATTGGGTAGACGAAGTTCGGAAGCCACCGGAGCTCACTGATGAGAATTTGCTTTCTGATTTTTCAGACATTTAAGGGACAATGGTTGAGGCAGGTAGGAGAAGTTATGGTGTATATAAATACAGCTGACGTGAGGTTTACTTTAGGCTTTTGCTGTAAATATGATGTTCTTTGTTTGGATGGGAAAATTCAATTGAAATGCAAAGAACCTTTATTAGCTACAAGTGGTGACCAAAACAGCTGGAGCTCTATCTGGTTGAATTTTACGATCTTGCACATTGACCCTCTTGCTTGTATGGGATCTGAGCTCAGAACATATAATATCATCTTCTTGCCCCCTCAACGTGGATGTGCCCACATCCATGCCGACACATTCCAAAAGTATATGGTTGCAAGACAACGTCCCAGGGTCCTGGTCGTAATTGGACCTTTGAGTTCCAAAACATGGGTACAGTCTCAACATACTCTTAACAATGCTTCTGCGTGTTTGGTGAAGTCCCAGTTTCTTTGGTACAATCTATGTATTGACGTTCTTTTCGGTTACATAGGGGTGACAAGTGTGGAAATTGTTACGGAGAAGTATTTAACAGCATGTGAGCATATGAATTGAAGGAGTCAGAAAGCAGTATTCTCAATTGTTTCATGCTAAGGATACTCCTTGTGCTCATGAGGGACCTACGTCTGAAATTTGTGCGAGGAAATCCATATCGGGTGACTGGTCTGTTCAGAGTTGCTGGCAGCTGGAGGCACATGTTTCTATTTGTTGCAACCAATGGGAAGTAGAATGGTTTAGATACAAAATTATGGCCGGCAGGAGATATCTGGAGCTAGTGGAGAGGCGAGGAGAAAGAGGCAGTTATATTTTTTCATCGAACAGGAGGGGACGTTTTTCTTGTAGCATTCAGAATACCCGCGTGGACCTCTTTACAGCGCAGTTCAGGATACAAATTTGCAAACGGAACTTTTTTGTTGGAGTGCAGGCTTGGGGAAATGGTGATTTAGCGGCATAGGTGAGAAACTCCAGTCGCCGGACCCGTACACTCTGCCAAGCTATGACAAGCCTCTCATCTGGTGCAACCTCTTCGTTACTTTCTTCTTCCTGAATAAATATCTGGACTTGCCCGTAGAAGGCAACATGAATTGCAGATCACATGGTCTGAAGTTACTTGTCTCTCCTGAAATTCTTATTACAGTTATTACAGTACTTGCTTCTCATACATGCCCTGCACTAGAGTAGTCATTCGGGAACAGAAACTGAAGAGACTCGATTTCAGTGCTCATGAAGGTAAGCAATCAGAAGCATGCTCTCAATGTTTCTTTCTATTGCTCCACAGTTAGTTATCAGAAGAGTTTCCGAATTTTCCGGTTATCAGTCTGTGCAGCTTAGGAGACAGCTTAAAATCAGTAGGTAACCATCGAGCCAGGCCAGGTTCTGTAGATATTACCATGTGCCAGAAAGTTTAATGAGCTCTCTCATATTCGCGTTGGTATGTTGTAGAGATCCACGTGAACGAACTTAGTGATATATTTTTTCCTTTGCCGTTATCGCTCGTAACCGTGCATACTTGCGATACGGTAACTAAGACCTAATTGATGAGAACGATAGCCTTGGAGTGCATCTAATCATGGGATGATACTCCGAGAGGTCAGTAGTACCTTTCTTAGTGCGACTACGATGATACACACTCTGTATTTGTATACATACACTTTCAACAAACTTATTTGTTTGTTTATGCATGCGTTGCCACCTCTGCTTAAACTATCAATGGGAGATTTGGCGGAAGGAATGGCGTAATCTTCTCGTTTTTGCTGGATGATGTAATTCTGCACCTGAGACTAGAGCTTCTTTGACAGTTTCCTGCATCTTTTGCAAGTACAAAAAAACATTTTATAATATGAGCAGCGACGATACTCTGTGACTAGTCTCAACATGATTAGGGTGGGCATACAAAGAGCCCTTCCTGCGTTACGTCATCTGTGGATTCGCAAACGCATTAAACGGGTTACTGAAAATAATACAACACATTTTTATATCCAAGTGGAGAACATTTAATATCTGAGCTTATATTACATAATTTATCCAATATGATATACATTATATTCTATACTTCTAATGTAACTTGGATTTATAGTCTGATCTGAAAGAAGATGTCATGGACAATCACCAATGAATCGTCCTCGACTTCTCTTTCTTTGTTCACAATGGTAGATGTTCCTTGTATTCCCCATATTTCTTTCCAAGGGTGACTTGACAATGTGAAACATCACTTTTTTACAAGGTCAAACTTCAGACTGCTCTTTGGAATATATGAATGGAACTTGGACTTGGATTCGTAATTTTATCGGAAGCCATGGTCACAGGAGCACGGGTTCAAATAAGATGGAATCAATGGACTGTTTGGTGTCCAGCATGTGTGGTGCGAGGGCATCTCCCGTCCGGTAAGCAAAACGGATCGCTCTGACCGTATCGAAGTACAACTGCCTCGCCGATCTGGGAAGCAGCGGGTGACTCTTGGATGGGCTGTAAGTCTCCTTCACCAGCTGTTTCATATGCTCGTCCATCACCTTACGAGCTTCTTCGATGATTTCTGATTCTGTCAGCCCATTGCGTTTTGAGATGGACACCCAGTTCGGTTTGTTCTCTGATTCTTCTCGCTGCAATGACAACACAAAGCTCCACAGTTGCATTAGCATCCACGAGATCTTGCTCTAAGGTCTACTCTACCATGCGCAAGAGTGATCCTAATCGGTGGCCATCAAACTTAACAGAAGACGAAAGAGCGCTAGAGAAATTTCTACCTGATAAGTTCGAATGTCGTTACTGAGTCTCGCAACCACATTGGCCAGGTGCATCAGGCGTTTGGTGTGCGGACTGTCAACCATCGCGGGACTAATCTTCTCCCCCATGAAAAACTGAGTTGGTGTCATGGCCTCGAACGAGATTCCAACTTCTGAGACGCTCATGTACTCCTCCAACGAAGGCTCGTAGTTCAAGTGTTTCCACTCTGCTTCTTTGAATTGGTTCTCCACGAGCCTTAACCACTGCTCATGCACGACGACCCACGTCATGTCAGAACATTCGTCGATTGAACATATTTACATGTCACATGGGTTTGTATGACATATCTGGTTCGTCATTTTTGTTAAACCATAGAATCAGTGATTCATCAAAGAGAGACTACTCAACTTTTAAGCATTTACTTCTTCTGATATTCGGATGGTCAGTGTGGCGATGGAGCTCAATTCGTCAACGGCTGTTTGCAGATTCATTCCAATTCTCGAGCGATAGAGGGAGGCCAAATTGGATTCAACGTATCAAATCGTTATGAGGCTATTGTATGGTCGGAAAGATGCATTCTGAGGGATGTGTACAGCGCACTTACGATGTTGTAAACATGGTGACTTATATCCCGACCTTGGAATAAGCTTCCTTCTGCTGCGATCTCGGTGATGGTGTTGTAAATTGACTCGAAGAAAAGCTTTGCTTCGCCGCCCGTGCCGTCCATCAAATTCGGATTCCTTCTGGTAAATTCATGACCACACTCAGAACTGACTTCGTGTCTATTTCCATGAACTCCATGAGAATGTGCGAGAGATTTTGAGGGCGAGGATGATCATCGGATGAAATTACTCGTGCGAGATCAACTCTGACGACACGAATGGCTCAACGGACTGAAGGAAAATGCTGTACTCACGATCTGAATGCTTCCAGAAACTGGACCTTGTCGGTGTAGGACTCGCTCGGAGAGTCAAAAAAATCATCAATCAGAACGTTGAGCATGGCGAGCTTTGCCCACACTGTTCTGGCCATGGACTGTTCTGGTGCCGGAAGAATACACACCGCCACATAAAAGCAGTAGACCATCTGCTTCTCTCGAGTTCTTATGCTGTTGAAGCCTCGTTCTTCATTCCATCTGTAGAGTGCAATATTGAGCCATGCATTTGGTGTTAAATATCAGAGGAGACGGACTTTACAGTTCAGCACCCGAGAGCGCAGAGCGAGAGTTAGAGGAGAGAACGAGTGATTCACATGAAGCGGAAACAGTCACAGAGGTCGCGTAACATCGCCATGTTTCGTCATACCTTAGCAGAACCTGCAACTCTTCTTGATGTTTTGATTGGCACAAGTTGAAATCCGCTTTGGCTAATTTCAGAAAGACGCTGTTGGTAAAGCTGTGCATTCTGGCAATCGACACGCAGGATGAACATGTCATGATTTTATATACAACAGTGCTTTGGTGGATTATATCACGAACTGACAGTTTTACACCAGCTCGGAATGAAAATGCTGGCTACATGGGAGTTATCCATGTTAAACTTCTGTGGCATTCCCAGAGCACCCGAATCCCTCGACAACAACTGGAATGACTATGATACGAACCTGTACAAGACCTTGGAAATCCATACATGCTGTGGTCCGTATTGGTCGAGATACGATCTGTGTTCCAAGCGGGGAAGATGTTCGTACCAAGGATTTGAAAGTGCCGAGCCAACCTGCCATGTCATCTCAACATCAGCTACTTCGAGGACGTGCACGTAGACCACATCTTGCAGACTAATTATCCACTCAATACCAATGCGCAGTGAAGATCTTCATGATCACGAAAGAAAATGGGGTTCTCCAATCCAATCACAGTCCAAAACCAAAGGCCAATAAATTTCCGAGCACAACTGCAGGAGCAGCAAAAGGACTTATGATCCCTCGCCATTAGCAAAAGGACTGAGATTTATTGAAGCTGGTGGGAGTTACTTCCGCATGAAGACCCTTCGAGATGACCCACTTGTCTCTGCAAAGATTCTGCGTGTGCTTATCCAACAGAAATCGCCTCGCCCATTCAGCCCCCTCCATCAGTAGACATTCCTCCGGGAAGCAAGTTTGCGCCGCTCTGTAGAAATTGAAAGTACTTGAAACACCTCGGTTTATCTCGCCTGGATACGTGCACCACTCTCCGGAGTCTCTGAAATGTTGGAAACAATCTGCATCATGTTAAGCATGCTGGTGAGCACGTATCGACTCAGATTGATTGTCAAATTTGATTATCATAAGTTATAAAAGTAAGTGTTTATGATTAAATATTTACAACACACAATCTAGCACGATAGAAGTTAAAATTTTTTTTATTCATTTAATCAACATATTTTTATTTATGGAAACGATGGAAGTTAGAAAAAATCTTTCAAAAACGTCATGCCATCCAGTTCTCTGCTACTAGATATTCCTCATGTTACTCCTAAGGACTATTTCTCGGAATTTGCTGACACATGTTCATCCAGAAACGACGTTGCTCGATTCTGCTGGAGCTGCTGCACACAAGTGTATATTACAGTTTCTTGGGGAGTGTAGAATGTGTTGATTTAACTCTGCTAGCCTTGATTCCATTATCATAATCTGTGACCTCACCGGAGCTTACATCATAACCATGCAGACGAAGTAGGCGAAAGGCCATGGCCGAGTCGTCAAGGTCAGTGACGTTGCATGTACTGGCCCACGAACATCCGACTCTGCTGCTGAAGTGCCTGTACACGCACACAGGGAAGTCAAATTGAGATAGTCTCAATGTGACGATCCCTGCCTTCCTAATTTCATGAGCGGCATAAGCGGGGTATTACTGTCTTGGAGCTGCAAAACATCTTTCCCTGCCAACCGCTTGCTCAATCTTTCTCAGCTCGCTTGCAAGTACAGTTGCGTAGCAAAAGGTGAGGCCGATAGTTTGATTGTCCTCATAGAGACACTCCTCAGATTAATCGTGTATGACGTACTCAGGACCCGGTTGCTTGCCCCCCAGGGCTTTCCACGGTTAGATTTATTTAAGAGGGCACAGATTCACATGAAAAAGCCTGCCTTGATTCCCAGGTTAAGGCAGGAATTTTTTAAGTCAGAGATATTGCACATGGCATCAGCATTTACGTCGACTCAGATGCTGTATGAAAGTTTGGACAGAAGACATGGGAGTAGGGAAGTGTTGTACTCGTAAACGTAGTCCAGGGAGGCCTTGATTTCAGATTCGAAATGCCGAGCAATTCCCAGGCGCTGAAGTCTGTCGACTGCCCAAAGGCGCTGGAATATATCGGAGGGATAAAAGGGCGGAGCTGAAGCACCAAAACAACGCTCTTCTTGTCAAATGCTCGGTCTTATCGTGGAAGACTTCATCGCAACAGCGGAGTAGAAGAATTCTGGTGACTCATCTGACACCAAGAGGACGTGAACGATGGGCATGAAGTGACGCACCTGCTCCGTCACATAGTTGCGGTATCGACGTCAGATAGCGGAAACAACTTTCATTGCCCGTGTGCAGGTAAGCACAAGCAGTAGCCGCCGGAGAGCAACCAAAGCTTCCATCCGTTTGCTGCTGCTGCTGCGAAATTTGCTCCCAGTCGACAACATCACGAATTCCTTCAAGAGAGTACGTGACTGATGTTGGGGTTGTGTAGATCAGATGAAGGGGTATTCTGCACATGATTTATCCGCCCCAAACGTAGTTAGCAGTAGTTTGCACGTCCTCGAGGTCAAATGCTAGAATGCAGGAGCGCTGATACTTTACATGCCAGGAGTCCATCTGGAGCTGATATGATGCAAAGTGACCAGTTGTAATGGAAACTAGCTCAGACTTCTTCTAGTATACAGTCCAGAGCTGGATAAGTTGCAGGATGGAACCTAAAGGAGAGACATAAGTCTTCCCATCAGGTTGGGGAGCTTACTTGCGGAGCTTTTCCTCCCTTGCAGCTCTCAATTTATCGATGACGGGGAGATTGTACGGAAGGTCCAGATCCAGGTTCTTTGCATGGTCCAGAATCGATGGAAAAACAAGCTCGAATCCAACGAGCTTTTCGTGTGTTTCGTCTTCCAACAGTGCCATGCTCTTCCTCAGAAATCTTAAACCTTCGGAATGACAGGCTTCCGTGAGTAGCTGAATATGAGATCTCTAGACAATTTCTGGTGTACAGGTTTAGTGAATTCACTTGTCAAGAGACATATTATCAATTATATATATCTTATTATTCAGCGATAAATATATATATCTTAATCAATCATTTATATGGTAAACGCCAAGACGACGAGAACTTCATCCAGGTGATAGGCAGCCGTAGTCATAGCACGTACCTTTCTCCACGGAGTCGAGCCCAGTATTCCACGATTTCAAGGCGATGATGCACATTAATGTGCATAGCACATTGTTTTGAATGGAGAAGAAGTCGACATCTCCCCAAGAGCCGTCCTCCAGCTGGTTCCTTGCAATCCATTTTAGAGTATTTGGAAATTGAGGACCTTGACTTCCATCCACAGCTGGTATGAGGGATACCCACGCGGTGTCGTATGGTGAATCTGATGTCTCACCTTTCTCAAACATGGATCGAAGTAAACCTCGGATCTCTTCAATCCACGCTTGCATGTGCGTATCGTTCGGCCTTGCAGTAGAGGAGTTGGCTGATGATTTATTATCCGTTGTCTCGAGTTCCTTGACCTCAGCTGCAAATACGATTGAGGATAAGAACGAAATATCTGAAAATGGAGGACAATCTGCCAGACTGCATGGACTCGAATGGAGGAAAGATACAACTCAAATCAGGGAGCACAGAGCGTTTTGTTGTTATTTACTATACACACATAACTGGCAATGAAGGTACAGATGGGCAACTAACTTGCGGAGCTGTGGATTCGATGTGCATAGTTCCTCCACTTCGGGACTCTGGATGCAGAATCATTTGTCGTGTGGACCGCACCCACATTATCACCCAGAGTTTTATCTGAATGAAGTACGCGCAGAGGAAACAATCAGGTCTCTCGTAGTTCTCAAGTAGACCACGTCCAGATTAGCATCTAAACGCGATATGGGCGAACTGACTCCGAGTCCAGCTCAAAGTGCAAAGGAACCAACCATGAAGCATTAGATTACGTGACCAGATGACAAATCTGAGTCTACGTACTCACTTCTACATGTGCTTCGAGAAAGCAGCAGATCGCTGAGTCGAGCCCCGAGAGTCAAGCTTGGACGAAGGCCGGAAGAAAAATTTCTCGGGACTTGCCCGGCATTCGGGGTGGTACTTGTCATCCAAATTGGTGCACTCCACGCTGCAGTCGATATTGCCATTGTGTTGAAGCCTGACCTTGTTAGGAATCGGACACAAACCGGAGACTCAGACTCGGCCTGTTGTTGTTGGCCAATGGCTCTTTATAGGATAGCATGGACTCATAACCCGCGAGTGAGTGGACGGGTTTAGCTGCACAAACTTATACATAGCCCCTATATAGGGCCTTCATGGACCAAGGCAGGTGTCATCTTGCAGTGAGCCGTGACGGAAGTTCTTCTTTTTGTTGCGACTCTCCTCTTTTGGACCAAAGATGGAAGAATGTGCGGGTAGGCTAACCGGGCAGGTTTTTGATTGGCACTCAGTTTTTTGGTGGAGCATCAAAGTGACTGAACTAGATCGCTCCGCTTTCAGGCGGACCGATCTAGTGATGGACTATAAGAACATCTGGGCATCCATCCGCACTCAACTATGAGGGAATCCCTATTCTCACAACCTGGTCGACGTCATACTGACAACCATAGTTCCTCACAGCAGAAATGTTCAACCGATGCTTGAAACTGTGTCGGCCACCTTGAAAATGTTTCCCAACAGCTTAATCAAAGTATAAATTTATCCAGCATCCATGTATAACTCTCGCCCTTCGCGCAAAAACTCAATTTGATCCAAATTGTAATAAATGATTTATAAATATTTATTACATATTGGACCATCACTTGAGTCCATGCTAACTGTATGCTAAAGCGTTTATAAGTTTTTGAACAGGTACCAGCTTTGAGGAGGACTTGTGCCACATACAAAGTAGATTCCAAGGTCAAGGGTAGCTCATGGAGTTTTCAATTGTGTCGTTACGAGTCAAGGTCACGATGTGAGATAAACTAGAAACCAGTTGTCAGTCTACTCGACGACAAGAATCAGTTTTTGTGGCATGACAAAGACAAGTTCTTGTTGTCTCATTGTAAAATAATATCAACAGCAGATTATGACAGCCTCCACTGTGTTGCTTATAGTCAAAGTTTGCAGACGCTATACAGCAATGAATTAGCTGTGTTTATCCTCATCTCTTCAGGGAGCTCGTTCAACGAAGCAATTGTACTCATGTTCATTATGATGATGATGATAAGTGCAGAACTGAGATCCTGCTCAAGACAACTTTTTCCTGCTAATATCAATCATCGTTTGCTGAGGTTGTTCATTCACCACGAGGAAATGTGACTGCATCGCCTATATTTACATCATTTGTGAAGTCACTAAGCGTACTTCTTGTGATTTCTTTAGAAACCTGAATGTGATAGTTATGACGTTAGCTTGTGCAATGGATGGAGTCTGCTGCAGAGAAATTCCATTTTCACACAATCGTACTCTACTGAGTTTATTCTAGAGAATGTGGATACGAGATACATTTATAGCAGAGCCGAGTCGAACCATCGTCAAACCCATGTCACGTTTACATCTAAGAAAGAAGAGATTACACGGACTTACATCAGGTGTCTTTAGTTGACCCTACCTTAAAGAATTGATAATTCGTTATCTCCATCGGCAATTGTTCTAAGAATGTAAAAACAAGGTACAGAGCATGTTCCTGTTTTCTACGTTCGTTGTGTGACAATGGGAATATCCATGTTTTCAGGTGTGTGTATGTGAAATAACGCCATAATTGCGTTTTGAATACATGCATCAAGTTAGAAGAATCTGAACTTGGATTGAGACATCCATTCTTCAGCACGTAGGCATCATTATGATGATGATGATAAGTGCAGAACTGAGATCCTGCTTAAGACTGTGACCATGCATTGATTCCATAACGTTGTTGGTATCTTAATTGTTACGACATGTCTTCCTCCGTTCATCACGAATCCACTGACTTGAATTCCAAAACAGTAAGTTAGATGTACTTGTTGAAGACCATTAAGCAAAAAATGACTTCCAAAATGTAATAACTTCATATATAATGCACATGTTACAAACTTACACTTACCCATACAAGGTTCCCAATCTGTTTGGAAGTACTTCACAAATTGTGGCTTAGAGAGCTGAAATTTTTTATAAAATAACAGAATCTTCATCATAGCAGATCCTTCCACATCAAATTCTTTTCCATCAGCAGTCAATGTGCTTCCAAAGCACAAGTCTTCTAAAGCAACATTCATAATAGCTCTCTTTTCATGACCACTCACAACCTCAATCAATTTCTTTGTCCATGCTTTTTGAACATGATATATGCAAAGAAATATAGGGATATGTGGAAAAACAATGTCTATGGCAAGTCTCTCATTGTCATCACAATCCGTCATGAAGCACAAGAGCATCCATCCAGGGATATAATGTTGGATCATCTTCTTCACTGCAGATAATAATTCCACCTGATCTTCTGTTTTTTCTCTTTTGAGGAATCCAAAAACAGTAGGATGTCCATGTTCATATTTGTCAAACACCATCAGGGTGTACAGTGGATACTGCATTGCAAAAAATGAAATAAACGTATCAGTTTGCTGCTAGCAGTCGTCTACAAAGTATTCATCTTCATTGATACTAAGCTAAATCTCATACAAATGAATGATTTGTTATTTTTATGTCTTGATAAGCTAGACTTGATCAAGGTATATAAAACAACATATACACCACACATTGAGAAGTTCAATAATGTCTTATAAGACTAGTTAAAGCTCCAAACCGTCATTTTTTCAAGTATCTTGCAGATATTGCAAATTGTAACGCAGAATATACATAATCATGGAAGCCTGATGATAAAAACATCAAAATGGACAAGTAGAATATTTCCTTATACTTCTGCGTGCCATGCGTTCCATCTATAGCAACACAACCTCCATTTCTATGTTTTAGCAACCAATCTAGTAGCAAAGGTCTTGTAATAGCAAGCCTCAATGGTTTAAATGTATCACTTTTTGGTGCCTAATACAAAACAACTTGAGATGAATTTGCTTTCATCCATAATTCTGTGCTAATTCTATCATTAGCATGCATTCTCCAAGTTTCTTTGTCCAGTTTCAATTTGATATTATACACATCAGTAGATGTGATATAATGATATCTAATAGGGGTCCTTTGCACATAGTCCAAGCTCTGATGATTTTCAAACAGTGCTTTTGCAACACGCATGAGAATTTGTGGAGGAGTTAAACCTCTTCTTAACTCGCATTCAACCCACTCCCTGGCAAAAGAACGTAGAAAATGTTGTGGAGGCCCACAACTCCAAAGCTAAAGCGATCATAAGTATTAGACAACGTGCTTGCTTAGCGTCAAAGTTTTACAAACTGTAATAACAACAAACTTGTATTGTACATATTACAAATATGACGGGAGATTGACTGTGACGATAAAAAATACAATTATGAATTCAACAGTGCTTCAACATTAACAAATTCCTGGAGTGCTCATCAATTCGTTAATGTTGAAGCACATAGTGCTCTAAATCCTCTGATCTGGCCAATTTGCTCTCGTAGCGATGGGTAGAACCTCGGGCTCAACTTCGGAAATTCTATAGAGATTTGCATCGATCCATCCGCCTCTCGTCAGCTCGTCGTGGATGATGAGTTTTGGCGCTACCGTGCACCAGCAAGCATACGGGTACCCGGGATTTTGGCAGTTTACAGGCGACCATGCGGTTGTTGAAATCTCGAGTTGCGTTGTGCGTCGGGACTCTCGGCTCATGAAGCAGCCAAATTGAAGCACCATCGATCCGGGAAGGTCTTGAGGCGGGCGCTCCCAGTGTTCGTCGCTGCGATAGATCATGATATGACCCGTAGAGCGCCCTAAAAAATCCAGGTAGTATTCATCCAGGCTCTCCTCCAGGTTGACGATGAGGCAACCAGGCAACAAAGGGCATTTATTGTATTTTTGGAGCGCAGTATTAGGCGCGTCCAAAGACAAATCTCTGAAGATCCTATGGGCCATTCCAAGGAACCTAAAGTAATAATCATATCCGATTTCCCCCACACACAAGAATACGTAAACATACATGGGAACAAAGTGATCGGTCATTCGGTTCCGGATCTCAGACCGGAGATTGCTGTGTAGTTCCAACACGGCGGCATGAAGTTCTTCGGGTGGTGCATTGATCATGCGTATCCGTAGCACCACATCGTCACCGTCCCCCATGAGCCAAGAAGTTATAGGCCAAATTTTCATCGTACGCTCGTCCTCTCGGACGACTTTCAGCTCATAGCTTGTGCCCCACGGACGATCGGGAGCAACGGCGGCTATTTCACGGATGATAAAGTCACCCGCAGCCAAAAAGAAAACTCTGTCGAGAACAAGCTTATCGTGATAATAACTCGTCATGTCATTCTTCTCCGTGGGATTTGACTCCGATTGGGCTACCATGTGCCACATTCCAATTGCATGCGGAGTATCCTGGTGATGGAGGTGGAGGGTAGCAGTCTGCAAGGGTTTCGAGGTATACATACTGGACGTGAACTCCATAATCAATGCTTCAACATTAACGAATTGAAAGGGCCATCATAAGGTGGGTCCTGCACAATCCATCCTGCCTCCATGCTGTCATCACCCATGCAAAAAGCACTTGAAATGACAAGAAAAGTACAAGCACGAGCTCTGGCACAAGCTCCTCAAAGCACTAACACTAGCATCCAAAAGCGACGTCGAAATGACGAGCTGGAGAATATCGATGTGATCCTATTTTCAAAAACCCTAATCTTTGCCGCTTAAAATTTTGTCGCCTCAATATGTTATCACCGTTTGATTACAAATATTACAGTTTGAACATTAGGGATCCAACTGAGCTATCTCTCTTGCGGTTCAGTTTTAGTTTTTAGTTCGCGCAACGTTCCACGACACGACCGCGATCATTGTTACGACGTAGATCATTGCAACGCAATAGATACAACGTTGCAGCCTCTATAGTGACGGCCTCTTCTACATGGTTGTTGGAATTTAATCCGGTTGAAGGCCTCTACATGGTTGCCGGAATGTAGGGTCCGCCTACCCTCAAGTTCCCAAAACTGAGATCAAATCCGGCTGACTCGGGGCAGCCCGAAGGGAGAATGAAGAAAGAAAGAAAGAGGAGAAAGAAACTAGGATCCCTTACACCTGGCAGTACAGCAGTTTGTAAAAGTTTGTGCAACTAAGCGAGTATGAATAATTAAATGTTCAATAGATTTGCTTCCAATCGTCTTCTTCTTAAACAGTACCCAAAA